GGAAAGGAATTTCAGGCTCTGTTTCACTTCATACAAAAGATGTTGGGGTTTTCTAAGTACCTTCCTGCCTGCTCTTCACTGAAAGCATATGGTAGAACCTGTCTCTCCAATTTGCATAACATAATTGAGTCTTTCAGTTGATGTCTTTTGTATCTAAGGAATTAGTCTTGATGATTTACCAGATCACTCAAGATGCTAAGAATTTCTTCATCTGCTCTTATTCTGTTTTAGTTCTGCAGATATGTTACGTGGAGAACAAGAAGTTAGATACATCATAATATGGCAGAGGGCCTTGTCCACTGGAGGAGTAGTGTTCTTGGTTTTTTTTATACTGTGGGTTGTTCTCTTGATTTTTGGAAAGGGTTGCAAGTAATATAGTCTTTCCCTGCACTCAAAAAGTAGGCTTCCTGGCAGCATCAGATTTATTGTGCTTGAGCAGAATTACAATGTATGTGCAGAAACATGATCAAGAGGAAGAGTGGTGAGTTGCAAAGAAGCTCTGAAATGGAGAGTGGCTGCTGCTGATACAGTCAACTCAATCTTCTCCTCAGTTACCTCTGAATGGATGGTAGGCAAGATACATTGTCCCCCTGGGTTGTATGAAGCTCCTGGGCCATAGAGTTGAGTGGTCCTACAAGAGACAATGATGTTTCTGTTAAATGTTTTTGTTCTATTTTGCATTTCTAGTATTTGCTGCCCAGTAGTCAGCTTCTCCTTAAATGTCTTTGTTGCTCTCTCTTTACATAAACAAAATCCCTTTTAAAATAGCCATAAAATCAATTCATGTTCTTTCAGCTATTTTTAACCATTAACCATTCTGCTGTTAATGCTTACAGACTTACACCATCTGTCAGTGTCTAGGCAAATATAAAACTGAGGCTGCTGCTGCTGTACAAAATGTCCTTTTTAAAATTATCTCATCCACTCGCTTTTCTTTTATGTCATTTGTTTCTACCATTTGCTCTTTGCAACTTGAAGTGTACAGTTTGGGGCGGGGGGGGGAGATGGGGAACAGGTTTAGTGTTTTTTGCGTATATCAGCTAGAACAATAAGGTTCTCATTACCAAATACTACAGAGATACCTAAAGGCAATTCAAATACTGTTTTTCTTTCTGTTAAGTTTACATTGTCTCAGCATGTAGTTAATTTCGTTGAAATGAATGAGATGAAGAAGCTGATTGGGAGAATTTAGGTGGTAATTTAAAGGCACTCTGTGTGTGTGTGTGTGTGTGTGTGTGTATATATCTCTCTCTATCTCTGATGGTAAATACATGAATTTCTCACTTGCACAGCTGAGTTTCACAGACTATAGTCCAAATAAAACAATGTGCTCTGTTTTTGTAGTCAAACAGGTATGAAATTTAATGTTGCCTGCTACTTATATCGTGCAGGAATATTTGGCTGACTCTGACAGCTGTACTTTTTTTTTCTTGGGAAGGCTGACCACTTGCTGCATAGTAAAATATTCAGTGTGTTTTCCCTTAACCTTTAATTTTCATTATGTCTTAGTTTCTTTACACAGTGAGATATCTAAGATCTCCAGGAATGGTTATCTTCATCTAATATTAAAGCAAGATTAATTGTCTTTTAGATGGGAACCTTACATATCGATATCAATTAATATACTTATCAAAATAATACTTCTAGCTCAAGAACCAAATGTTTCCTTTTCTGGAGTGAAATCCCAAGAAGCAGAAGATGTTAGCAGAAGACATTATTCACGAACAGCATGTGTTTTCCATATATACTTCAGAAGTGCTAGCAAAATTTGTGACATGCAGTGCTAGATGATCAGCTGTTTCCAATGATTTTCACCCATCATAGCTCAGAAAGCAACTGATGTTAAACTGTTACTTTTCAAGCTGGAGGAGACTCTCCCTGTGGGCAAAACACCTGCTTTGGTCAAGTTGTTATGCCTTCCCATTGATCAAAGGTTATTTATCTGTAAAATCATTCATCTTTTTGAGAGGAGTATCTGCTGATAATCTGTGAAAATCTAGTAAAAAATAATACCTTAACTTAGTCTTTGTAAAGTGATAAGGCAGCCTTTTAGGAGGTGCTAGCTCAGAGTCATACCAGCGTTTTATCAGAAATAAATAAGTAGCTTGATTTTTTTTTTTTTCTTTCAATTTACAAGATTGGTTTTGATTTTCTTTGTATTTCAAAGGCATGAATTCTGTAGCTCTATTCAAAAAGCTTACCTAAAACAGCTAATTCTATTTAAATTAATTTTCCAAATCATGTTCCTGCTCAGGAAGAACTGAGTTCATTAATCTTAAATACTGTGTTTAAACTGGTAGTCTCCTAAGCTTTTTGTAGCTAAGATGAGTTTGATTATACCTTGAAAATGCTGGTGATTAGTAGCTGCATCAAAAGATTTCCATCCAAAGGTTTCTCACAGCTGTATTAAAACTGAGGGATATCGTGGCGTGTTTAGAGTGGAGGGTGGTGGGTTTGTTGATTTTTGTTTGTCTGTTTGTTACTGTTGCTGAAGTCTGCAGGCACTGTGGAAGTGAAGTCATATGTTTACACACTCATTGTTTGACTTCAGATCTTTATGAGACACTTGTATGAAGAATGGTTCCATGATCTTTGTTCTGGTAGAATCATCTCCCAGTTCCAGGAAGGGGCAAAGTTATGGTACACAAATACACTGCTTCCTTATATAAGGAACTTGTTTAGATAGTGATTACCCATATGAGAGGACATTTTAGTACAACACAGTGGAACTGGGTGTGGCTTTCCTGATGATCATAACTATGCCAGTAATCCATAGTCCTGTCTGAAATGTTTTTAAAATCGGTTTATTGAATTGATGAGTGGGAGGGGTAATACATGTGTTTTTTATCTTAAGTGTGAAAGCTTTATCATGTCAGCAGAAGTCTTTAACCACTGTGCATTTTTAATTTAGAAAAGGCATAAAGCTGATAATGCGGTGAACAAGAAACAAACCCAAGGTAGGAAATTTTTTAAAGCCTATTAATTGTGGGTTGGAGGGGGTTGTGTTTTGAATTTTTTGCAAATGCTGGTAATGTAATCTGAATTGCTGACAGGTAATTGAGTGGGAAATTGCTTGTGCAGATTACTTCAAAATTTGGAATCTAAACAGTTGAAATAACAGTTTGCAGTCACATTAGCCCCACAAAATGGAATATGTTCTAGATTAAGTTTATGAGGTTCCTAAGAAACTTTAACATTTACTCATTTAACACAGATGATGCTGTAGCTGTTAAAAGATCATAAGCACCACTATATTTAGTGGGCCTAGATTATGATGAAAAGTCTATGCATTTCCAAGTACACAAACCATAATTTTTTTCACCGAGCAAATCTTGAATAATTGAATTTTGGAAAACTCCGCAATTGGAAGGAAAAGTCATAAAATGGAACTCTCTTTCTATGCTGCTTCAAAACTGTGGATAAAGATGGATGGATTTTTTCGGTTTTGTTTTGGTTTTTTAGTATGAAATCAGTGTAATGGTTTGATTAGAGATAATGAGATATTTAGCCAGTGTACCCAAACCAAAACTTTGGAATGTGATTTTTTTTTTTTTTAAGATTTTAATAAAAGAAGTAGTATTAAATCGGAGGATTATTTTAGCTCAGAAAGTGAGGGAGCTATTATGCTAATTAGCTATTAGCTAATATGTCCTAGACACATTTGTCAGATAGGAAGTCCAAGTTTAAGTTCCTGCTTTGCTGCTCTTTGAGTTTTCATGGTACCTGTTCTGAGTTAGGCCTCTCTTGATAGAGCTGGTCCTGTTTTTATATACAGGAGGAGGAATGACTGTCATATGAATTTGATTGCAGAAAGTATGAAAATATACCACAAAGAGGAATCTTACATGGAAACTTTTTTAAATAAATAACAAACGTAACCTTAAGGTTTTTTAGGGAGGGATGTAGTCATTGACTGAAGATAATCAGAATTGTTTAGCACTGCCAACCACTGGAAATGTCTCTGATTTAAAAATGTAAATTTTAAAGCCTACCTAAATTGTACATAAATCTTAAAGTTTATTGTAAAATTTATGGGGGACAGAGCGGGGCAGATGACTTATGAAACTACTGAACACATAGCTCAATAGGAGGTATGGAGAGATTAGGACAGGGAGACAAATCTATTGACTGAAAGCACTGGGAACAGAAATCTCCAGAGAACAGGCCTGGAGAAACAGATAACCTCTTATCTATACATAAAAAAACAAAGGAGAGCTTAATGTAGACATCCAAAATTCTTTCATCAAGCATTCATAGCTTTTGAGATTGTAACCAACAGTTTTTGGTGGCAGTGAATCTTGAAGTGCCTTTTCAATTTTTTTTCTTTATGTCCAGAGCATACAAGTTTTTAAATTAATAAAAGACTTGATTTACTGTCTTTCCTGCCCCTTCTCCTTGGTTACCTCTTATTAGGGTCTTTAGTGACTGTTCCAAAAATTCATGAATGTTCCTTGCAGGCAAAAGAGAATCTTGGGAATTGAAAGTGTAGTGAGGATATGTACAATATTGCTAGCACTGAGAAACAAGTTCCTTAAGCTAATGTAGGATTCCCATAAGTACAACATCAATCCTAGTGTACTGTCAAAGCTATATTTAAATGTATTGTCAAATATAGTATATTGTCAAAGCAATAATTAAAAAGTTAATCAGTATGGTTTAGTCTCTTACTTTGTTTTCACATATTCAGCAGTTCTGTAATCCTGAAAAGTAGCGATGTGCATAGTACATGATATATCCAGCTCCACCTTTGGTTGTCTTTTAAACATAAAAAATTGTTAATGAAATGACGTGGATGTATGGATTCTGTATGTGGGTTTCCCTTCGTCTGTCTGTTTCTTAAAGACCATCTGTGTCTCAGTTAACCTTAAGTAATTAACTTCCTAAATTCCCATTACTATAAAAAACCTTTTGCACAGGATTTTGATTTATTAGGCTGCATTAGGGATGATTTTTGTTACCTCAGCCTGCATACATATACAGCAGGACACTGTCAGACACTGACATGATGAAATGTGCATTTCTGCCGTGTGGTGAAGTAGCCTTCTGTAGGGCAGATGGAGCATGCTTTTGAAAGTTAGTTATTAGAGACAGATGAAAAATGGGAGATACAAATGTGAAAGCCAGGCTGCAGAAGACTTTTTATGGCACAAGTTCTCTAAGCATTATATAAAAGGTGCGTAGCAACCCCACTTCTTTTTTTGTTCTCATAAGAAAATGGATTTGATTGAATGTCAGTGTACGTTAATTGTGCTTAAAAGCTTATTGGATCAAGCTAGGGTTAGAGTACTCTTGAGATTTCAGGTGTCTCAGCATGTTTTCGTGAGTCTCTGAGTTGATTTTAACCAGCTAAACCAGCAGGAAACAAATCCAGAAAGAAAAGCTGACAGTTTCCTTCCATTTAGTGGGTTAAACTGGCTCATCAAAGGGTCCACCAAACACCAGAGGCAGCACGCATTAAGCAGTGAGGGCATGCACTTGTGCACAGGTTGAGGGCAGAACAGGACCTTCCCTTTGCAGTGCCAATGCTATGTTAGGTCAGCTTGGCTGCATGTGAAACAGCCTTAGGATGTATTTCAGCAGTGCAAGTGCTTCTGAGCCAGTACTTCTTAAGAAGCCCCTGGCCACCTCTGGCAGCTTATTTACATTTCAGACCTGCAGAACTCCACTGGCAGTTATTCTACTATAGCTATTTGTGAAACTTAGCCATCTGGATTGCTGCAAAGTATATTTTTAATCCTCATCAGTTCTTTCACCTGGTTGATACCATGGCCCCACAAACAGTATTGCTGACACAAGGGGGTGGAAGTAGGTAGTTAGTGGCACAATTATCAAATGTCTTGAGTTTCTTAGGACAGTATTACAACCGGTCCTCACCCTGGATGTGTAGTTTTCCCAGTGAAGGGAAATGGTTTGTCAAAATAGATTTTGTGTAATGATCAACTGATTGGTGAGACAGTCATTAAAATATCTTGCTTACTGTCTGAAAGGGAGACTGTTGTTTGCACTAACAAATTTGGGGGAAGGAAAGGTAAGATGATTTATCTCTTCCTAAAGAATTATTCAGCAGGTTAGAAAACGACTTGCAGAAATCATTGAGCTATACAAGAAGAGCGATCAGTCTGGACAGAACCTTAACGAAGACTTAGATGTAAAGGCCATATGTATTCCCAGATTTTGATCCACTTTTTTCAAACGAACACATGCTTGCATAAGAACTGGGTCCTGATCAGGTGCTTAGATAAACATCCTTACAGTTTGAAAGCTGGGAGACACAGTGAAGGAGAACAATCTCTTGGAGCTATCTGAGTATTGATACAATGCAATATGGTTTCTTTTCATTTCATTTCCTTTTTGCACATCAATCTTCAATGGCTTTGTAAGTGGTGCTAATAAAAAAGAAGTCACCTTTATTATTCTCTGAAAACACGATCTTGGCAATTAACTGGCAAACAAGGCATGGTTTTTGTATCATAGTAGCGATACTTAAAACTAGAGTAGTGGAACGTGCTTGCAATATTAATTGCTACTGCCAGGGAAAATCTATACTAAATCTTATGCTAAATGGCATGGGTTGATTTTGGGGATTTCCAACATATTTATGGAGGAGATGACTGCAATGATCCTAAAGTTCACTGACATGCCAATAACAGTAAGAACAGCTGAATCCTAAGAAGCCTGCTGGTGACTTTTTATGAATCTTTTTTACACGAACCTCATCGATATTTGAACTGAGAAAAAATTATTGAATTGACACTACCCCCACCCCCGCATAATTTCATAACTTTTTGACTTTGGAACTTTTTATTCCAATTACCAATTTATTTCAGAAAACACCACATTATCATGCAATCTGTATCAGATTTTATTGATTCTCAAACCCTATAAAATGTTCTGATTGACTTCGTAATAAGATTTTATGATACAGAAACTGTTATACAGAATGTGCTGTATAATTGAAATGCTTGACCTGAATTTATAGAAACAAGGCATGCTGTAAAATATTGTGTAAATGAGCTGTATCTGTATGACTTTTCTTAAGGAAGCTAACACATACCTGTATACTGCAGTTAGATTGTACAACTGGAAAATTCTCTTTCTTTTTTTCTTTTTTTTCAGTACTACGAAATGGTGCGTGGGAGATTGTCCACTGGGAAAAGGTGTGTGTTTATGTTGGTGACTTTTAGAGCATAATGCAGATTTAATATTTGCTTTATTTCTTCAAATAATTGTCATTGATAAAAATTAACTGGTATGATGGGAAATGTATAATCTTTTGTATTTTTTTTTTTTGTTTGTTAATACTTTTTTCTTAAAAAGTACTTTTAAGTCAAGTCATGCCATTTTTGATGGCATGAGTCAGGCAAAACTACCGTTAAATGGTGGGCTTTAAGTTCAGTGAAAAATAACTTGAATAATATGGTTGACTTGGGAGTATTCACATATGGCAAAACTATACAGTTCCTTAGTATTATTTGGTGTGCCAAGGCAGAAACTTCTTTCTGGAAACTAGTTACTTTGTGTATTTGCTGAACTTTTTTGGTTAAACCATAAGAACTTTAAAGACTGTTACGCAGTAGTTCGGAAGGGACTGTTAAAGTTTCAAAGACTAAATGTTATGCTGTCTGTCTAGTCCCTTAGTTTTATTGGTTTCCATACCTGAAAGCTTGAACAAAATTTGACTCACGGTAATTTGGAGGCAAGGTTCAGATGAAATTGGTTTATACCTTTGGAGAAGCGAGGTTAAGGTATATGGCGTGATCTGAGGGGAGATTAATTTCTTTAACTTCAGTCTTCCAATAAAATATTTTACAGTAACTAACAAAAGTAAAGACCTGCATAGAGAAGGTCAGGATTAGGCCTATTAAAGAACAGATTTCCAAAGAATTTCAGTGACCTTTGAGTACCTAATACCTACAGACTTCTCTAAGCGTGTGAGTTTCTAACAGTCTTTCTAGCAAATTCAGCAGGTAAATATTTACTGTGCTTAAAACAAAGGGGTAACAAATTTTGTTTGAGACCATTAACCAATTCCCAGTTTTCTTTCAGGTAGATGTTGGAGATATAGTTATAATAAAAGGCAAAGAGTATATACCTGCTGACACTGTACTGCTCTCATCAAGGTAGAGATGCCCACTGATGCTTATAGTGTAGAGGCTGGTTTCTCTACCCTGCATTTATTTATTTATTTATTCGTTTGTGATTGCTCCAAGGAAATAAGGAATAAACAAAAATGCTGCTGTTCTGAAGTATAGTCTTTTGTTCATTTGGGCATTTATCATTTCAGGCAGTGTTTCTTTAAACTGTGACAATTACAGTTTTAAAATTACACTGGCATTCAATTTACCCCTAAGAAAAACGTAGTATGTTATTTTGTTGTTGGATATAATACAAAAAAGGCTGATTCCCTGTCTAAAAATTGGACCTCAAGCGCCACGTTTAACCAAGTTGGCTTTTTGATATGTACCTAACAAATTGCACCCTACAAATAAATTAAAATGGATATATTACAGGGAACAGAAATGTTTTTTAATGGATATAGTCGCCAGTTTGATAGTTGAATCAGGAAAAAAAATGAACGTGAGATGTGAACCATCAAATTAGCACTGTCTTTGAGCTGAAGATTCACTTTATTCTGTAATACATATATTATGAATAATTTCAGCACTGAAAGCAAGACGTAATTTATAGCATGTCATGCTGTGACTCTTTTTACGTGGACAATCAGAGGTTGTTTATCATCATTTCCTTGGACAGTTTTATTTAAGAAATCCACATCTTATGTGGAAGATGCACATTTTTCAACATCTATTTGATCAGGTCAATAGACAACATATTCTAAGAATTTTTTTAAATGAAGATTGTTTAAATATCATCAATTGTATTTTGATTTATTACTGTATATTTAAATGCAATTTCCATATTTTTTTCTGGCACAAGTGGAAGCATTATTGTAATATGTAATCATTATGGATTAGGTATAAACCCACTATGATCCCACTGAAGTTCATGAATCCACTCATACATATAATTAATAAATTTAGGATCTTAGCATTTCTGTGGCAGACTGTGGAGTAGACTAGTACATTGTTTACTCCATCTTCCATTATATCTCAAAATCAACTGTAGCTGTTTCTAAAACACTTCTCATAAATTATTATCAAGTGTAAAGTAGTTGCCAGATAATTTTCCCCACAGTCTGTCTTCAGTGCTAATGTTTGTCATAAATTCATATGTTTTTGTATTGAGTATCCTCTATAAACCTTTTACTTTTGCACTTCGAGAAGCATTTATAAATTTTATTGGTGCTTCTCCACCAAGATCTTCATAGGCAATACCCCATGCAGCAAAAACAGTTGTTCTATTGGCCTGATAATAGTTTTTGTCATGCTAACCCTCGTGTTTTGTAAGCGAAACAGATTACATCCCCTCAGAGCAGCTTCTTTATGATCTTCCTGAGTAAGCTCTTAAATTTGAGTCTTTGCCTTCACTGTTTTGCCCTTTTGGATTTGGGGGACACTTGCGTCGCAGTGTTCTCCAGTTGTAGTTTACACACAGAAAAATACCAACTGCCTGCAAAGCCTTCTTTCCGAGCCTTGTCCCCCCCAAAGGAATCCTACATCACATGTTGATAAATTGAAATAATAGTCAACTGCTACTGGACTTGTCGGGACTGTTACCTCTTTGTTTAAGCTCACTTTACTGCCTGTGTCAGAACATGCTGGCCCAACTATGACCATTACTTACCTTGAATTTTCCTGTCAGGTTTTCTTCTAGGATCCAGTTTGCAAAGGGGACTCCTTGAATCGTGATTGCTTTTCTGGGCCCAGTTCAGGCATTTCTTCCAGCTAAAAATTCCTTCCTAGTTATATTACTAGGGTCCTGTTGCAGCCCTCCTTCCAGGAGAGAACCCTGTGCTTCTAGGAGAGAGCATTACTTCTAATTCTACCTGCATACCGGCATGTGCTCTCCTTCTCTACCTCTCATCTCCGTGTGGCCATGCATTCACCAGGAAGACAGTCTCGTCAATTTTGCTTTCCAGGTGTTTATTGATCCCAATTACATTTTAGGTTTCAATAGCAATCCGAGCCTGTGGGCCTGGTTTTAATTCAAACTAGTAATATTTGGTTCTTTTTACCAGCAATAGCAGTTTCTGGAGAATAAGACGATCTAAATTATTTTAGGAAACTATAACCCCTTACAGTGGAAGGACACAAACCTCTGAGATTTTATTCCGTTTGGTTCTTGCTAGTTCAGTGTAAATTGAAATTTACAAAGCTGAAACAAAACACAAAATCATTTTCAGCATGTCTACATAGAAGGGTTCTCGTCAACGGACTTTTCAGAAAAGTTGGTGGAAAATCTTTTGTTGTGGCTTTTATTTTTTTAATTGATGTGTGGAGTGGCTAGAAACTTCGTCAGTTGAGGAATAAGCATAACAGCTTTTTATTTGTACTGTACAACATCGTGTTCTGCAGCTTAGAATTGGTGCCTTACAGTAAAACAATCCACTCGAGTAAAAATGCAAATATTCTACCTCTTCTCTTTCTGACCTGATTAAAATAGATTTTGAAAAAATTGTCATCAGATGTTTTAATTAACATGTATTGTTTGTATAATAATTTCAAACTCTGTCTTTTTGTCTTTGTCCATTTGTTTGGGTTTTTTTTTTTTCCCTGTCACTTATTTTTCTGTTCTAATCATTTTCAAACTGGGATGTGTAGGTGGCAGTAGGGGAAGTAGTGAAAGTGACCAATGGGGAACACCTCCCAGCTGATCTCATCAGTCTATCATCAAGGTTAGAATAAACTAGTTGCACAGGATACGTGTACGTGGGTCCTCATATACCAAATATGAAGAATGCTGCCATGTTGATAATCTTCGCTTTGCTGTTCACTTTTCTTTGCCAAAACCCACACATTTATAAAATTACAAAGGGTTCGGTTGATAAAAGTACAGATCATTAAAGTGTAAATACACAATATCACTCCCAGAAATTAAAATTTGTTTCAGTCCTCTTTGTTTTTACACTATCCCCATGAAATTTTATCGGACAAGTTGTCATTGAATAAACACACAGTAAAACACCAGGATAAATATATGTTTAATTCCTTAGAGCAAATTAAGAAGAATATACATGTTTATACCAGCCCACTATTTTCAGCAGAATATAGTTTAATATTGGTAGGACTGGTAGAGGACCCTCTGCACAAACTTGGATGTTGCACAATCTCTGCTGCATGCAATGGCAAAAGCAGCGCTGTTGTGTATCGTAACAAAATGCATGTTTCTTAGACACATCAGCTTTATGCTATTGTCTGCACTGTTACTGCACTTTGTTTTTCCGTAACAAATCAATGGGCCTGCCTTGATCTAACTGTAACTTGTTTACTTTGGAGGTCGCTGCTGTCTGCTACAGTAATTACAATTAAGCATGTGTCTCACTTGAAACGTCTTTGCTGCCTTAGTTTGTTTTAAAAGTGCTTCACAAAAATATTGTTTGTTTTTGACTATTAACTAATAAAAATGCTAGAGTTGTAATAATGTTTTATACAGGTGATTCCATCCAAATGATCTAAACAGAAGTTATTTACATTTTTAGAAAAGTTTGCCAGGAAGAAAATGCTAGCCTGAAAGGAATTTATGATGATTATTTATCACATTTTAATGCTTTTGCTTTACAAAAATGTTAGAATAACCTACAGAACTTTATTCTGCAAGCATTTTAAAACTAAGTCGCTTATCAGTAGCCACTGTTGCATTAAGAAAGCAGATTTTAAAAAATGCTTGATGCTTGAATTTCATACCACAAAGAAGGAAAATATTAGAAGCTTTAAGGTGGTATAGAGAATAAACGTTTATTCTTTTAAGTTGTAAGGGATTTTTATGACTCCTCTGGTCCTTTACAGGATCAAAACTTCTTTCTATAGTAGATATAAGTAGGAGGTGTTCTGTCCTCATGTCCAGAAAATGGGAGCTGAGTGGAGTAATTCAGAAATCCTGACCTGTTAGACCTGTTCTTGTTTACTATCTACTTGCAGAAAAATAATTTTGTCCTTCTGTATCTCTGTTTTACTAGTTAACACTTCTATAATGGTTGTTGTATGTTTTAAAACCTAAGTGTTTTACAAAATACTGCTGTGTTACACATCAAAAAATTGTATTGAAGAAATGAAATGCAGTAAGCCTTTTTTTATCAGTATATGTCAAATAGATGAACAATTCAAGTAATAATGTTCTGCATAAACTTAAAACTTAATTTATGAAAAAGCTTTTTAAATTGCATGGAGGCCAGAGATATTTCAAAAACTGTATTAGGTTATCCATAATTTAGACTTTTTTCATAAGGGAACCCTTTACAAGAAAACTATCATGTCTAAACTTTCGTATCTAAACTACTGCTGCCTATAGTAGTAGGCACTACAAATGCACTACATTTGTGCCTGTATCTTAATCTCATGTATAAACATAGAAAACTTACTATGTAAAGCATTTTTAGCAGTGTTTCATCTAAGAAGGTAGGTTTTGGCAAACTTTCCTGAAAATGTAAAGTACTGTTGGTTTTACAGATTTGGCTGTAAATTATTCTAGTTCTGAAGATTGATAAGAAAAAAAAAAAAAAAACAATTGCATAAATAGCTATTAAAAGATTACAGAAGGTTCATGGATTTTCACATTATAATTTAAAATAAAGGATATTTTTTTTCTTAATAGTGAACCACAAGCTATGTGCTACATTGAAACATCTAACTTAGATGGTGAGACAAACTTAAAAATTCGACAGGTAGGAATTTCATTTTTAAGAATATTGCTAATATTCTTTTAATCTATTACTGCTTATAAAACATTATGACATTATGACATTAATGGCCATTTTAGAAGACTGTGAAATTTTAATGTTTTGGATAAAAAGCTGTGGGTTATTGGTATAAAAGTTTTTGTTCAATTAATTAAGCAGAAGGAACAAATGGTTACTCCTAAGCCATGCCTTGGACTTTGTTTTAGGGTTTTTCTTCAGGGAAAATAGGTGGAAAGATTTGTAGTTTGGGTATTGGTTTTGTTTTTAGAGGATAGATGAGGGAGAAGCCCTGCAGAAAGAAGCTCATAGTGCCAGTGTTGTCCTTGAGGGGCAGATAGGGAATAGCAGGTTTTGACTGAGTGTGCTGTCTCTATGCAGGGACATTCTTGCTGGGATATATGATTGGTTATGACCCTGTCTTCATCATGATGTTTTAAAATACCAAGGTGACTTTTTCACTGTCTGTAGCATGCAGCAGTGTGACAGCAAAGTGTAGCAATCCCATTTTGTTCCCATAGGGATGCTGGTTTTCTGGTTTTGCACTATCAGATTTATAATACATAGACTTATATATTGGAAAGTGATTTTTAATGTCATGACAAACTAATTTTGTTTACAGGGTTTGCCACTGACATCAGACATAAAGGACATAGAAAGCTTGATGAGACTTTCGGGCAGAATTGAATGTGAGAGCCCAAACCGACATCTCTATGACTTTGTTGGAAACATCAGGCTGGATGGGCATGGGTATGTAAATCAAGGAAGATCATCTCAGTAGATTCAATCTAACAGTAGAGAGCTATATGTTGTTAAACTACTCAAGTTGAAATATGAATAGTAAAGTCTTTATTCTGTTAAGACTAGAGAGGTAAAAATCTTTTCTGGTGTATTCTTTCTTAGACTTTATTCTTCAAAAAAACTTGAGGGGTAAAACCGTACTGCTAGTGTCTACAACTTAAGTTTTTATACTAGTTGACCTTCATAAAGCAATAGCTATTAATAATAGAAGGGAGTGCTAATCAAATTCTAATAGTTCTGGAATATGTACCTAGAAACTCACTTAAGCATCTCATTCCTTGCCTATTAAGTTTCTATTATAGAAGCTGAACAGAAGTAGTTTCTTGTCTGTTTTTTTTTATTGTTGTTTTATTTTGTTTGTCTAAGTCTGGAGTGGAACTGAGTCCATCACTATATACTTCAAATTCTTCTAATTTGGTAGCTGAAAGACGTTTAAAACCTTAGCTTACTGAAAGTATGTTTCTGTAAAAATAGACAGCCTCAGTGCAATGACAACATACATGCTTGTAAAGCTGCTTCAAAAATTCTTAAAATACTTAAGTGCCATTCCCAAAGATTTACAGGATTTCTTTTTCATTAGGTAGGCTTTTATTTCTCCATATACAATTATTATTCATGTTTGTGGTTTTAGACTGATATATGTAGTACTAACTAATTATTAAATACCTTTTTTTTTTTTTTTTTATATTCCATTTTTTATTTACTGATTTCTTACAGATGCATTCCGGGAGTTTTCAGTCGCAAGAGTGTGGATCTATTATAATTCCACTGTACTTGTCGTTAAGAAGAGAAAAACATTTACCTGTAATTCTTCTCTGAAGGTAATAGTTATAGTAGATCCACACATTCATCCTTCTCCCTGGCTAGAGGGAAAAACATACTTTTCTTTTTAATCTAGTTATTTAATTTTAAAATTTGATTTAAAAAAGAAACATTGAATGTGCTGATGGCTATTATGCCTCAAGAATGTGTAGGAGCGCGCCATCTGCTGGTCAAGCAATTTGTCACTTGAGAAATTCAGTTTTGGAATATTTTGAATATAGTTCCTGTGCAGTAGGATAGTTCCAAAAGTGTGGCTCTAATATAATATTTACCTTCAGTGAAAAAGAATTGCAGGTAAGTAACTCTTTTTGGATCCTGACCTTATTTCCAACCTGAAAAATCAGGGATGAGTTTTCTTTCTGCCCATGTTAGAGGTAGCACAGATTCATCTAGCTGGTATTTATTTATCCAGATTTTTAAGACCTTCCTACCAGATTGTGTAGATCCAGCAGCTGTGATTTCCACTTTATCCACTACCATCTTAACATTTTTGCAAAAGCAATAGAGGATACTGAAAATGTATCTCCCTCTTTTTTCTTCCTTCCCTTTAGATAACTCATTGGAGTGCTATACATGTTGTATCTGGTTGACCTTTTCAGTCTTTTCTTTTTCCCTTCATGGGAGAGCAACTCAAAAAAACAAAGGTTCTCTTTTTTTCTTTTGGATACTCAGTATTCAAGGAGTTAGAACTCCACTACAGTTATTTTGCCTTTTGGCTAAATCTGTGAACTAAAAGAGGCCAAAAAATTTTTCGTGGTATCCTCAGCTTTTGGGTGAGTTAATTCTTATCTCCAAAGTGTGCAGCTCTTTGTTATGCTCATGAATATACAGAAGCATGTCACTTGGTTTTAGTCGATGAAGACAATTGGCTAGAGAACGGAGAAAAGTTCTTTAGCCTGGATAAATTTGAAATTATGATTAGACAATGACTCAGAGAAAAAGAGTGAGCTAGTTAAAAACAAGGGCAGATATTGGTTATCCAGACCTAAAGTAAATGTTTTCCTGAAGGCATTCTTAAGAAAATTTTGGGTAAGAGTGAAGTATGCTTGTTATGAAAAACATTTTGGTATGTACACTGTCAAATGTGTCTTAGAAATTACTAGCTCTTAATATACCCTTGACAGCCCTGGCGGGAAAGTATGCTGAAAGGCTATTTCCCTGTTGAGAACATCCCTTGCTGAATACAACCCAAATATGTTGCTGCGGAGTCGTTAGTTATGTAGCATACAAGAAGAATCAGATGAGTTGGAGCAGTTTTGAGAAGGCTGAGGCCGGGAAACAGAGATTTGAGAGCTCTGTCAAGTCATCGCACCATCACCTCATTAGAGAGGGGGGTAAGATCACAATTTTGAGGATCAGTAGCATGACACCTGGCAGATCTGGGCTTTCTATGCCCCTGGTTGTTTTGCTGTCTGTTTTCATCTCTTTTGTCTGTGCACCAGTTCTGCTGGAGACAACTCCCACTGGCTGCAATCCCAATTCTGTTCTGATTGTCTTCCCAGTAACAGACCCTTGAGGATAAATTCCTGTCCCAAGTTGGAGAAGGGTATCCATTTAAGAGCCAGTGTCATGATGGAAAAAAGAATCAATGGATCCTGCAATAGAAGGGACTTTACTGCATATTCTTCACAGTTTTTAAGAAGGGAAGACAAAGAGGAAGATCAGGAAGTGGCAGGAAGAGTCTTAGAACTCACCTGACTCTTCAAGGAGTACAAGAATTAAGAGTGGAAAGTTTTGACTTCTGCCTTCCTAGACTCTCTTGTATTAGTAGAAGGGACAGAAAGTCTTTTGGCATTCCAGAGAAGGTCCAAAGTTGAAAAGGTTTCCAGTTTATCTGGGGGGGAGGGGGCGGGTACTTGCATATAACCTGAGAAAGTTATTTTTCTTTCATCTTCTGTGACATTCATGTTAGTGTTAATAGACTAAAAATATCTAATTATTCTTGGAATGACATGTAATCCATTCCTTAACTGAAATGTCTATGTATCATGCTGATGGGTGTTCCAAAAGCCTTAGAATGATTCTGATCAAGGAATGCAAATAAATACAAGTGTGGAAGCAATCTTTGATGGCAACAGGTGTCTCTCTTAATGATTCTTGTGTAATTCAAGCCCTAGCAGTTCCTTTCATACTTGAAAGGACATTTATTCTCTTAATTTTGCCACGATATGAACACATCTCAAATACAAGAGCAGCACAGTTCAGATTTAAAAAGCAAGTAAGTCTCAGTATGTTTTATATTTCAGTTTTCTTTTCTGATTCCTTCTTTTGATGAAGTGCCTGCACCTGGAAATTATGTTTCATAGCGATATCATTCAGCGTTTCAGTTGCTGAAATATACTTAGTTGGTGGGGAGAATGATTCCTTAAACAGTCAGTATGCTCCGTGCTAGTTTCCTTGAAAGTAAGTGGACTAAGTTGTAGTGGGGTGGTGTTTGTTAGTTGTTTGGTTTTTATAGAAGAGCACTCAAATATTTTTCTAGATTACATTTTTTTCCTAGTTTCTGCAAGAACTGTCAATTTAAGACAGTTAAATGTTTCCAATGTCTTTTGAGTTTTGTTGCTCATTTACTCAGTGCAGTTCTAAAAGAATAACACAAGCAAATTTACCTGGTGTTGCAATTTAAAGAAGGTGCAGGAAATATTGTTGTGAATTTTAAATAGTTAATCACGTTCATAAAGGATATTTATTTCACTGGAAGAGAGGATTAAGTTGAGAGTTCAGAAAATTCTTTCATTTGAAATTTGCTTTGGAAGATCAATTTCATAAGAGTAGCTGAGTTTCCACATACACTTAGGAAAACACTTCATAATCATAGATCACAGGAAAATTAGCCTTTGTTAGTTTCAGTATGCTTGCTTAGTAGTACCATATCTTTAGTGTCCATAGTCAAAATTAAGGGGTAAGTAATATTTTTGCAAACTTAAGTTTTTGGACTTGCTTTTAACTGTCAAGTTTTCTCTCTGTCAACACTCCCAAAAAGTTAACTATGAAAATTGGGTTTCTAGTATATTTACAATAATCATCTAAATTTTGAGAAATTAGTTTTAACAACTGCTGGTTATGTTTATTCATTGACATTGATTGCTTTAATGCTAAAACATAAAACTCCTTCCTTCTAGTACTGTTCCATTGGGATCTGATCAGATTCTTCTACGAGGAGCTCAGTTGAGAAATACTCAGTGGGTTCATGGGATAGTTGTCTACACGGGACATGACACAAAACTTATGCAGGTTTGTCATTTGGATTTTCTCTAAATTATCTGTTTCATTACCTTATTATACCATTGCACAGCACAGAAAATCCTTTCAGAAAACATGGCTAGATTCAATATAGTAGTTAAAATGTCAGTAATAGAGCATCTTTCTTATGAAGTAAAAGCAATAAAAATAAAGCAATTTCTTGTTATTATTAGTCGCTTAGCCACAGAGTAGTTTTTCCACTAGTAAGCATATTTGTTGATTCTGTTTTGTAACTTGTGTTTTGAAAACTATTTTATTAGCAAGTTGAATCATTATAGTTTGCCTGTTCATCTTTTTTTGGTTTTGACTGCTCCTAAAATTCTTGTCCTCTTGTGGAGCTTTCTTTCCAAGTACAAAGGTAAGCATTCTTGTCAGAAAACAAAGTGAAACTTTCTTCGCAAAATGAGGAGGGAAGAGAACCATTCTCAGACTATGAAATTACTTTTCCAGGTGCTGTTTGAAATATCAAAATTGAGATGCATTTGTTGAGAAAAAAGAATGCTTTCAGATTGGTCATGCGTGTCTCTTATTTATTGCTTTTCTGATTTGTAAAACAGTTATTTGAAAGTTTGGTTGTTTATATTAGCAGCTGTCTTCTATAGCACTTAAGGTGTATGCACATTCATTTTTAATGTTTACTGTTAGCTGTTGCTGTTACGAGTGTTCTGTGTGATTATTTAAACTGCTTGTGACACAAATCTAAAGCTCTAATTCCTGGATTTATAAGCTGCCTTTTTTTTTTTTCTTTTGAGTGAAACAGTTATGCCATTTATGATGATGATGTGTTTGGGAGAATATTTGGGAAAGGATGCAGTAACACGTAATTTGAAAAGTGGGAATTGTGTGTACCTCTTCTAATATTTAATAGCCACTGTTGGTTTTTGTCTTTTGCAGAATTCAACAAGTCCACCTCTTAAAATGTCTAATGTGGAACGAATTACGAATATTCAGATTTTGATTCTGTTCTGCATCCTTATTGCCATGTCTTTGATCTGCTCTATTGGTTCAGCTATATGGAATCGAAGGCATACTGGAAGAGACTGGTATCTTGATCTAAATTGTAAGATGTAAAATAATATATTAATATTTTAGTGTTCAGTTGTCTTTCATATTTGAAAAAGAAGGATGATTACCATCCTTTACACAGTATGGTTTTTATCAGTCTTTCTTTATTGGTTGTTGACTAAAGTCATTAGGCTAAGTTTATCACAGCAAGTATAAAATTTATCTTACTGTGCCATCTGAGCTCTTGCTAAATTCAGGAAGGGGAGCTTTGTTGTTTGCCTCTACATCTTTCAGACTCTACATCTCTGCAGCTCAGCGAGGTCTGTGTCAGTATTCCACTGGCATAAACAGTCAGCTTCCTAGAAATCAGACTAAAGCCATTTTCAGCTATTACAGCTATTACATTCAGCTATTACATTTAAAGCTGCGGTAACTTTTCTGAATTTTTGAACTCCCTCATCCCAGGAAATGGTGCTGTGGCTTTATAACTTTTACTATACAGGGATCTAACTAATTATTGCCTGCCAACATCAGGTCTCAGCAGACTGCTCCTAAAGAAGATAAAAGAGGCATAAAAGATCTTATCTAACACATTATACTGGGCAGCTGTACTCATGGTGGATGCAAGGCAATGTGATGTTATGTGGGCCTTCATGGCAGCTTGCAACATACTGACATAATTTGACCCCCAGTGAGGGAACTAGATTTAAAGGAAGTTTTCATAAATATACTTTGTGGTCAATTACTCATGTTTTCAGAATTTCTTATGGTGGGCCTAGAGCCTTCTTTACTTAAGCAGTAGAACCAGAACTAGGCTTTCTGCTCCTGAAACAACAGAGTCTTGAATACAAAGCTGCTGAATGTAGTCATCAAAGTAGGCATTATGGGGTGGGTTGGTCAGTTTTAAAAGAAAAATCTTAGGATTCTGATTTGAAGGCACTCTCCTAAAGTTTCTGTTGAACAAAACAGTTGTCTGATTTATGATGAACTTTTGTTTATTGAGAACCTTGCTTCTCTTCTTTTTGATGGTGAGGAAGAACCTCTTTTTTTTTTTTTTTTAAAAAAGGAAGAAACTTAACTTTCATATTTCCATCATGAAGTGGAAAAAAGTGAAATAGTTAATGGAAAATTGACAATTTCCAGTAATATGAACAGATGGCATTGGATGTGCTTCCTCATTTGTTATTTTTCATCTGATTCTTCTCAGGTTTTTTTTTTTTCTTTTCTGGGAAATGTAAAAATTTCAGAATATGGTGGTTAGCACAGTAATGAAGCAGTTCAGAAGCTTTTGTTTTTATTCCTGAAAAAAGAAACATGAAATAGTGGCCGTTGATATTTTGTGTGTTTTTCAAGTGATTATCCTTGTCAGTTTATTTTCTGATATATGCCCCATGATTAAATGAAATTGTGTTGTACAGTATGCCCTTTAAGGCTGCATTCAGCTCATAGTTGTTCATGTACCAGGTACTTTCAATATGTAAGAAGCAATTTATTTCCCTTTCCCTTTAGTTATTTAATTTTTATGTGGTAGTGAAACAGGTTCCCAGCAGTGCCCCATCTTTCTGAATGCTGTTAGTATTTGGTTAGAACAATCTGTTGCCTGTGGATGATAAAAAAAGTGGTAATGTTAACAATAAATATCTGAATATTATTTTGTTTACAGGTAGCAATATGTATCAAACTTCATTTAATCTCGGTAGTCATTATTGAGAATATCAATGTCATGGTGAATGTAGCTCTCTAGTCTTCTAGACTTGTACTTCATTTGATGCTGGAATTGGTATTAATGAAAGTATCCAAAACCTGCTGTCTTGGATCTTGGAGTAACAACCAGATCGACATTCCATAGGCAGTGGAAACCTGTCTGAGGCTGTTTTGATTTGAGAGATCTTTGAATACAGACGGGCAGGCTATGTCTTTTACCCTTTTGCTGTACTGGAGAGCAGACTGCTATTTCCCATTCGCATCCTCTCTGAGGTGCTACTACTAGAGTTATCTAAAACTTTAAAAAGAAAAAGTGGTATAAAACTACTTGTTATATATGTTAATATTCACATTTCCAGTTCTTTTAGAACTTTCATTAAACTCTCTAATTTCATCTCTTCTTTTCATGTGGTGTGAATTTACCTTCTTCATAGTATTTTGCTGGGTTGGGGGGTGGAATAGGAAGCTGTGAGGGTGGATAGAGAAAAAAAATTCATTCCACTACACATTCCCCCCTTTAAAAATATAAAACTCTAAAATTTAGAGTTTAGAATTTAGTTGCTATATATAGATATTCCCAGATTGTGATCTTAAAATGTAGCAAAAGAGGGAATGGCTGGTAAGTTTGCTTTTCAGAAATTGGAGAAGATGGCAAAGATCTCTAAATTTGAACTACACTTTATAATAGAGATCCTTAACTCTTATGAAGGTCATATGTATAGGCAAGTGATATTGTAATTAATTCTCAAGTTTCTTCTTAGACACAGAACATTTTAAACATCAGCAGTTAATGCAATACTCTGAATACACTGTATATATATACTTTTAAGTATGGTCTTAAATGTGTTGTTTTTTTTTTTTTGCTTCGTTTTTTGGCAGATGGGGGAGCAAGCAACTTTGGATTGAATTTCTTGACTTTTATCATTCTCTTCAATAATCTTATTCCAATCAGTTTGTTGGTTACGCTTGAAGTTGTTAAATTTATCCAGGCATATTTCATAAATTGGGTAAATATTATTTTTATAATATGCATTGACTTCTAAAATCAAGTGGTTTACAAGTAGGTGAAATGATTGATTGCTTGTCTATGTATACTTTTTTCAGAATTTTTCTTAATGTAAATATTTAAGTATGCTGTTTATTTGTTATTACTAGAATCTGAGAAGGTAATAATAAATGGTTTTATTTAGTGCTTTTATACCTGCACTAAATTGCTTTTTGGAACATGTTTTTATGTGCTTTGTACTTTCTCATTATTAATATTCAGGTATCAGTTTCATCCAGAATGATGAGAAGAAAGTGTTTTGCAGTCCAGTGGAGTTTTGTCCGGTTTCTTTTCTTCTTTCTAAGCGTAGCCCGTGTTTTGGGTTTTTTTTTTTGTATTTTGTTGATTTTCCCACCACCACCATAGTTTAATGGGTTTTTTGGTACAAAGCCAGTGTCTGTTAGTATTATCTCTTACAAAATATATGAAGATCATCTTGGCATCTTTTAATTTTTTTTCTTAATGAATTAATGGGGGAAAAGAAGGTTTTACTCTATTTGAGGTATTCTCCTTAAAGCCATATAAGTGCTTTTAATAGCATGCCTTCAATTTTTCCATTTTTTCCAAATGTGAATTAATCATACCATTCTGAACTCTTTAATCTGATTCTTTGAACAAATGTCAGAAATAGGTTTGTGTGTGTGAGATATGATGTCATGCAGATATAGATAGAAGTGTATGTGGAGTTGCAGGTAAAGTGTATCCTTTATTTTAAAAGTTAAATCTTTTTGTGAGCAGTCAGCTGGTTTTGATTTCTTCGTTTCTTTTGTGCTATGGAACAAATTGTTGACAAATAAGAGAATGCAATGAAATTCTTCCTTTAAATAAATAAATACTCAACAAATATTCTAAAATATTCTAAATAAATATTCAACAAAGGCTCACCCATTTTGAATGTGTAGGTTGGCAACTGTTTATACAACAAATGCAAAAGACTGTTTTAACTTCTGTTTCCGCCCTATTTCTTGTCATAAGGGATTGGTCGTCTTTAATTTATCTTAATCTGGGACTCTGGACATTTATTATCTTAAACATTATCTCTGTGTGTGTGCGTATGATATTGGTATAGAGAAGTTGGTCATCTGCAATCTGTTTTACTACATTGCCATATTTCACAATGTTTTAATCTTTTACTGTATTTAAAAATAAATTCTGATTTTTTTTTTAACAAGTTAAAAAAAAAAAAAACAAACAAAAAACATCCCCCCAAAAAACAAACACAACAAAAAAACCCACCACTTATAATGTATCCTACATTTATTGTGTACTCTTAAATTTATTTTTATGTTTTTATCTCAATATATGTTTATCTTGCTATTTAAAAATGACTGGTTATGTATACAATACAAATTGCTAAGCCTGACTTCTCTCTAAGTGTTACAGTGTAGTATTTCTGCTTGTTGCTAAATCTATTTTAGATGCATGGGCACAACAGTTTTTCAATAATATAATCACTGGAAATAATCAGAGTAAAATCTCAAAGAATCATACAGATTTTTGTTTTAAGGAGGAAATGCAACTTCTTCTGGGGACTCTTGGAAGTGATCTGATTGTGTCTGTGGCTTCCCATGTTGAAATAATCATAATTAGATAACTTGTATTCATGTTCGGTCTGCTCTTCTACACTTACCTTTTCTATTTACGTACTGGATTTTTTGTAATAAGTTGTGGAAGACAAATTTTTAGATATATATACTTTTTTTTTTACCTGTAGGACATAGACATGCACTATGAACCTACAGACACTGCTGCGATGGCTCGTACTTCCAATCTCAATGAAGAACTTGGACAGGTAAAAAAATATTACTGGTTCTAACTCTGTGTGAAATTATTCCTGTGGTTTTACAATCCAAATTATTAAAACAATGTGAGGATTTATTTCAAAAAAACTTATATTCTTGTCTTAGTCTTTTTTTGCCTATTTCCATTTTCTTAATTTTGTCAGATATTTTTAAAAACACTTCGCAATATGTGGGAGTTAAATTTTTGAAACCAGTATTAAATGAACAAACACTGCTTTGTGTGTGAATGTGTATGAGGTAATCACAGAAGGTTTGAAGTGTATCATTAAAGTTACAAAATCAGAGGAATTCTGAGCATTAAGCCTGGCTGTGGCACAGAAATTTAGTCTCTATATACACTGATAGTGTACATCTTTAATATGTCATTTTTTTCACATGCTCTGCCTTGCTCAGAAAAGACAGTGGGTATGCTCTAGGACTGAATCGTGGTCGTATATATTCCCTCTTTTTTTGCCACTGAAGATTAGAAATGGTGAATGGAACAGGGGTTCATGGCTGAATTAAGCCCTGAAAATTTGGACTTAATTCTTCATTTTGCTTTAGAGTTCTCTTTTAATACTATAAAATCGGTTAGGCTTTTCACAAGAGATCACTTCTTGTATGTTCTTGACTTTATGGAAGTATGACTTTGTAGAAGATGTGTCTGGGGCACAGGGCATGCTTCCAGAAGCACTATACTATATTTGCTGTCTCAGCCAGTTGTATTTGCGGTCTTGCATTAAAAATATGCTGAACAATATGCTTTCTGTTATGCTGACTGGTGATGGTAAACTGATTCTGTGGAAAAAATACTATGTTCTCATTTAATTGAACCGTATTATATGTACAAGTATACATATTCTTGCATTTCCTAACTTAGAATTTTTCATAACTAATTCTTCAGTTTATTGTATGGGAATGTAAAAGTTGTTTTTAGCTTTCCAAGAACAATAAATAATAACATAATTTTAGCCATGTAGCAAACAAGTCTTGGGGACTAATACTTGAGAGATCTGCCTTTTGGGAAAATAGGAGTTGCAGGTTAACGTGTTCTAACATTGGTCTACATAGAGGAGAACAGGCCTTTGCCTACTGGGTTTAAGAAGTACGTGCAGATAGCAGAAAATTTTATTCTTTTCCTGGCCTTAAAGGGGAGACCAGTCTCCTCTAGTGGGGAAGAGACTGTTGAATCTTAGCTTTATTTCTGTCTCATTTTACACAATCTATCTGTTTTTTCTTTCTCTGCAGTTAGCTTGCTATTCACATTCCCAGACACATTCCCTCTTTTTGACTTTGACAGTTCTTGTCTTCATTTCTTATGTTTCTCATCAAAGTCTCCTTCACCACCAAGATCTAGTCAGAGTTCTTGGGATCTCCACTTTTGCTTTTTTGACAGATTCTTAATTTGAGTAGTTTTTTGTAGAGAGACCAAAGGAGACTGCTGACAAAGAGAGCAAGTGTCTTCTCTGAAGTACAAGGGCTGCACATAATGAGGAGATTTCCGCCAAGAGATCTTCAGGTTTTAAGAAAGGCAAAACTTTGGTGTTGGAAAAAAGGTTGAGTTTTCTTAGCTGCAATTCCTGCTTTCCCATTCTGCCCACACAAAAAAATACAGTTGAGGCATAAACCTGGCATGGAAAATTTCTTCTAACTGATAATTTGGCTAAGTCATAATCCCTCAGAAACAGAATCTTTAAATAGGAGATGCTGAGTAAATTTTATAATAGATAGCCTTATTAGCTCCATTGATAATGCAGTTAATTCCTAATTAAGAATACTGTGATTTTTTTTTTTTTTTAATGAGAAATAAATTTTAATGAATTAAAATTGAAGTTTACCTTTGACTGATAGAGCCTTTGTTTCATCACGGATCACTTCATTGCTTCATATATTAACTTCTTTCTTAAGATTAGGTTTGAACTAAATTTAAATATATCACAGATACACGTATTTCAGCTTCAATTTTTAAAATACTTTAACTAGTAATTTCCGGAGAGGAAGGGTTTATGATGTTAGGGAAATAGGAGACCTGGAGTAGGCAGAAAGGAACGTATTTCTTCTATTCCTGCAACTTGGCATTTCTGAACTGTTGGTTTTTTACTAATGTTTTGGCTTTAAGAAGATATTTCTATGTCAAAAAGAGGAGTTTAGAAATGCATATAGATACTTTTATTTTACTGTATTGCTTTCTGTCAGAAATGGAATATTTTACTAGCAAAGCTATTGGTCTTCACTAGTTTCTTGCATTTCAGCAATATGTAGCGTGAGGAATAGTTAAATATATCACTATGCACTGAAGCAAGCTTAAGCTTCCTGACATCTCAGTTGATTGCCATGTTTGGAAATGGGTATCAAGACTGTGCATCTGCCACATTTATGTACTGTATTTTTTTTTTCCCTATAAACTATGAGGATTGCAGAACTGGTAAAAATATTTAGTGTGTTGATAGTCATGAATTGTACTAGATATGTAAATAACTGCTGAATGTTAATGTATAATGAATTTTATCATTCATTTAGGTCAAATACATATTTTCTGACAAAACGGGTACCCTGACATGCAATGTCATGCAATTTAAGAAGTGTACTGTAGCAGGAGTTGCTTATGGGTAGGCATTTTTATATATTTTTCTTTATCTGTGTGCCTTTCTTTTCCTCTGCCTGTGCATATGTATCCATGCATTAATACTACAGTTAAAATAAACTTACGCCTGACAATATATACAACTAGGAGTCAGTTTGTTTGTGACTATGAAATGTTACTTATAAGAGGTATCAGCACTTCAGTCATGACATCTCTTTTTGCAAAGAGGAACAAAAATAAAGTTTCTATATCAAAGGCTTATTGCTGTAATGCAACTTCAGTATGCATGTTTTTTCTATCGCTCAGTCTGTTTAATGTTTTTACTAAAAAAAAGTCTTCCCTCATACTTGCAAAACCTTGTATCATTGTCCATGCTTCATATTTTATGTAGGCACATGCTCTTGCACTAAATAATATGCAGGATGAACAAGAATTTAAATTACGGTACTGTAGCATGAACTACAGTACTGTAGCCACCATCCAAGTGGCTTTTATGAATACTGTTATAGTGGCATAACTCCAAATGTCAATATTGCTATTAAGAAATCTCTCCAAATAAATGCAAACAAAGCATTTTACTATTTGTCAGCAGTTGCAGCCAACTCCCTCAACAGAGTTTGTAAAAGCCTCAAACTTCTAAGACTGTTTACTTGGAAAAAAAAAAAATTAGAGCAATAAATAGAGCAGAAACACCCACATTGTAAATGCCAGTGTGCCTTACCAGTATGTGAGATGCTGGACCTGGGCCGATCTCGGAGCATTCAGTAGCAGATAGTTAGACACCTCTAGAACGGGGCAGAGACCAGGAAGAGGTTATGGAATTAAGTGTTGGGCTTGTGGTAAAGGTGGTGGTTTGGCTTTTGTGGCTTTATCATTTGGATGCCTTTGAAAATCCTAATTTTCGGGAGTCTAATCTAGGCATTCTGTTTTGAAAAAACTCAGATCCTTAATGCGTTAACCATACTGATGTTTTTTTTAATAATTGTAATAAAATACAGTTCTAACCCTGCTATTTCAAATATGTATATAAATTTGTGTGTGTATATATAGGGCTCAATTTCAACCACATGAGCTAATTTTATGACTTCAGAGAAACTGCTCTGAGCTAACTATTTTCAAATTCTTTGTATAGCAGTTTTTTAAGATAAAAAAATACATTAATGGTAATGACACTTAAAATCAGTATTTGATGTTCAGTTCATTATATATCTTCATCTGAAGTTGGTATAGCACAACTTCTAAAATTTCTCCTTTATGAAACCTAGGTGTGAATGTATTTTTTTAGAAAAAAATTACCTGATTTTTCTTGCTATACTTTACAGCTCCCATTTACCCCATTTTAAAAGATACAGACTGGTTTTCTGATTAGCATCACTGTTTAGAAAGCAAAGTTTCTCTTTACAGTGAATAGCCATTACAGCATCTCTCATAGCTACTCGGAGAACAGAGTCACTCTGTCTTTCAGTATTGATGCAAATAAGAAGTTGGGAACACAGAAAAGGATAAAAGTGACTGTTCCATCTCCCATGCCTGTTCTTTCTAAGTGTGTTATAAATTGTGATATATTTAAACCTGTGTCATCACAGGGCAGATTCCTTCGTGTGCCATGGCTAGCTTTGTTCATGAGCATTTTGTGAACTCAGCCAGACAAGGTGCATTAGCATGGCTTCAGATAACTTAAAAACTACCTTTTGTTTAATGAGAAACTGTAGCAATGTATATACACTGAAATATAAAGCAAGATTTGTAAAGAGGGCAAATGCCTTTATATCTGCTAGTATAAGTTAGTAAGTAGACAAGCTTTCAATTGAAAAAAAAATGATCATTTATAGTTTATGAAGCCTCAAGAGAAACATCATACTTTTGCAATATTTTATTGTAATCTAGGCACCAGCAAAATACTTGGTTGAAATACCTTTAAAACTTTTTTTAGTAATTCAATTTCATTAACTAACTTCTTTTTTTAAACATGATCAAATTTTTTAGCCTTTGTGATTCTTTTTCCTTTCCCTGTTTCTGTTCTTCCCTTACTTCTTGTGCAGCCATTGCCCTGAGCCTGAGGATTATAGTGTTCCTTCAGATGATTGGTAAGCTTTAAAAATCATTCAGCATGTGGTGTTTGTTGAAGATTGGAGCTTAAAACCAGTGAGTGAGATTTTTAGAAAGAGAGCTAAATGTGAGGTATTTTATTCAAAAGTTATTTTAGTTTCAAATTGATGCAGACCGACAGCCTTTCACAAATTTATGCGATCAGAATTCTACGGTATTAGGTTGTGTACTCTGGAATAGAATTGCTAGTAGTGTCACTGAGGCATAGTACAGTTATTCTACTGACAATCTTGTACAATTCAGAATTGCTTATTAGAAGAAAGTTTTGTAATTTATTAAGGTAGTTGGTATTATGGTAACTTTGCTTGCACTTCTCTACTGTTACTCAGTAATAGGTTAGTAATAATCTCTAATACGTTTGAAAAAAGTCCATATTTGAGAGTGAAAAATATGTAATACGTTATTATTAATGTTTTACTTCCTACAGATAGTTTTAGAATATTAGTACTACCTAATTCTTAACTGAAACTGAAATTAAAGCACCCAAATACACTTGGGGCCAACATTAATCTCTTAATGAGGACCTCAGGACAGACTAAGTCCTGGCTTCCTTTCTGCTGCCATTTGCATGATGCCTTGTACTTCTTCATCATTCTTTCTTAAACTAAATATTTGCAATAGGGTTCAAAATAAGCTCAGATAGATCAGGGAAAAATATCATTTACAGTCTAAGTTATTGCTGTTGTATTTGTTGAAAATCACAGCAAGACATGTCACACAAAACTGTAATATGTTGTCTCCTTACGTTTAAAAAGTTTGAAGGAAAAAAACTTGCTTTGCTAGATTAGAATTAATAATTCTTTATTTAGATTAAAAAAGAAAAATTCTCCCCACATACACATAAAAAGTGGCACACTTGCACACCCCAAAATCTTACCTGACCTGAATATCCTCATTTGATGTAGCAGCAAGATGTTTCTTACAAAGATGTGCAAGTGTGCTTAACTGTGCACAAGTGAGTGGTTTGATTAAAATAATGCAATGCTTACATGAAATTAAGCATGCTTCCTTATAAGCTATTTATGAAATAAGACTGGGTTTGATTAATACACATCAAAATCTTTATAAGCCCATCTGAAATGGATAAACTGATGCCTGAACAGTAGTTCAAAAAGAAAAAAAAACAGTACTTCCCTTTTATAAGTGATGAACATCTTGTAAATCTTATGAAATAAGATATTTAAGAAAATTTTGTTTTGTTTGTAATTCTATTGTAATTAATAGAATCTGTTTATGACAGTAACATTTCTAGTCCTAAAATGACTAATGTACTGAATTCCAAATCTTTTAAATCTGTATTTTTTGTATTAGAAATAATTGTTTTCCAATTTGACACAACATATACCTGCAAATATTTTCCCTTTTTTGTAGAATTGAGAATCTGGAAAATATCTTGAAGTCTTTCTGTCAAGAAGCTTTAAGCAAACAAGGCTTAAACCTTAGACTCTAAACAAATTTAATGTGTCTGAAGTTGTTAACATTTGGCACTTCAAGATCCATCTGCTTTGCATTTTAAAAAAAGAAAAGTCTTGGTTAATGAGGATGCTTCGAATTTCTCACTTTCATAATAGGGTTTTAGAAAAAGTAGTCCTTGAGTGGTTATATAGAGCAGGTACTGCCATTTTATATTCCTTCATGATAGCGCAGGACTAGAACAGCTCACTTTTGGTTTTCATAAAGAATCTTCATACTGCCGTTGATGTATGTGGCTTATCCTTCAACTTAAATCACCAAATGTGTTCACTCTCTTCTAAGATTATGTGATCCAAGGCAAAATCCAAAGTAAATGAAAAAATACTTTCCTCCATCTGGGTTCGCTTTTCAGCACTGTTTTGTTTTACAGAGAGTCAAACTCAACTACATTGTCTTAATATTCAAGTCAGCTGCAGTAACAAGTCTTCCTAGAAGTATCTACTTTTTTTGAACTCTCAGCTTCAGCCAGAAGACTTGTGCAACTTGAGAGATGTTAGTGTATGACTTTATTTCACCAGAACTATCTCCACCTTGCATCTCTTCAGTCCCTTCCTACTTCACCATTGTTACTGTGTTGTCTTCATACATCAGTTTACTAGGTTCCTTTTTGGTCATGAGTAATAGAAAACAAACCCTCTCCATTGCAGACTTCCCTGACGTCTGAACTCAGTTTGCCTACTGCTTTCAGATACTGGACTTTCTTTTCTGCAAACATTTGCAAACCTATTGCAAAGCTGCTGATTTCTCAAAGAAGTATGATCTCTTCAGGCACATCTTGTTCTGAATCCCTCCAATAATCTTGTTCTATGGAGATCAGAAGACAAGAAGCCACAGTCTTACATTGTAGATTTATTTTTATTTCATCCTGTGTTACCTGAAGTCAGCCTAAAAACTTCCCTGGATTTGAGTGTGTTTATATGAATCAAGGTTAATTAAAGTTAGGTTAACTTTGGAGATGCGAAACAAGTACCTCTTCACTTCATTTTCTCATAATATGCGATTGCAGCCTTTATTGTAACAGCTACAAAATTTCTGTTTGACCTTAGCACAGTAGTGTGGATGATTTGTATATGAATTGTTAAGAATATGCTAACGATGATCTTTTTTTGTACTTAATTATTTCTAGGCAGGGCTCACAAAATGGAGAAGAAAAAACATTTAGTGACTCATCATTACTGGAGAATCTTCAAAGCAATCATGTAAGTTATATAGAACCTGTTACCATTGTTTTGTGAAATCAAACCATTGCTTTCAGTAAGTCAAAAGATGATATCCTTTGAAGGAAAATAAATTGTGTATTTACAAAAAATCAGCATGTCCTCTTGAATACTTTTATAATTGTTTGTTGTTGATACCTGTTAATTAGATCCACCTGGAAATAACGTCTAGTGTTAACTTCTGGAGAGCCTTTTGAGCCTTTTTTTTTTTTTTTTTTGATGGTGTGATTCAAATGTTCTGAGCCTGAAATCTTACGTTCTTCATTCTATGGGTGTTTCAACGTTAGTCATGCTGTCCATATGAAGTCATGACATCCATCAAAGCTCAAGTTAACTTACTATCCTGACATGACTTAGTATTTCTGTGCCCAGGCTTAGACAAGAGTCAGAAATTAACCACATATATTGGTTTTGTGTACATGCTTCCATGAGGTTAGATGATCAGTTCAGATGATGAAATGAAACAGGCATTCTAGAGGCTGATATTTGCCCCAAAGAGAAAATACATTTCACAGAAAGTTAATAGCTTAGTTCATTATATGACTAAGAAACAGTACCATCATTACCATTTTCTGTTTGGACAAGAGATGTTTTTGCCTAGTCATAACCAAGAACACCTACCTTACATAGTGTAACCATTTTTTATGTATTTGAAGAGTGTAAATAAATTACTCTTTTTATTTCCTTAAATTTTGTCTTCCTGGGAGGGTAATTTCAGGATAACTGGCAGACAGTGAAGCATTTTGTCCCTACAAATGGAGCAGTCTTAAATGCTAGACACCAGAGTACAGCTCTCAAGCGTATTTAAAGCAGAGGGTGCTCCTGTACTTAGCCGTACAGGCCAGTTTCAGTGCTAGTAATGTAGACTTGGAAGAGACATCATCCTGTTTCTGCTGTTGTCTAGAGAATCCTTGGTGCGCAGCTGATTTGAATCTTGGAAGTTTTCTGGTAGATCTATAGTATTAAGTGTTTGTGTGTATATGTGTGTATATATATGTATGTGTATATATATAAAAGTTATAAAAATATACTTGTATACATCTTAAAGTAAAAATTCAGGCACAAATTCAAAGAGAGGTTTCATCACTGTATGTTAAATGTGTTCTGAAGTGCTTTGGAAAAGAATCTGTCATTCAGCCTTTTGAATACATCTTAGAGGACCTGAGGGCCCTCAGTGGAAGAGGACAGGAACCTGCTCCCGTTAGTGTTTCTGCACTGTGGAATTAAGTTAGGTTTTCAGAGATTATTATATTTTATAGAATAATTGTAATGTTATCTTGATGTTGACATCCTTAGTCTGAAATACTATAAATATGCTACGAAAAAACTCAGTTGAGGTGGCAGCTGCTTTGAGCTTATTTAAGGAGAATGCTGGGGTTTCTTTTGACCAACCATTCAGGAGTCAGTTCATTCATTTTGCAAATTTTAGCTGTATTAGTTAAAAACAATCAACTATTTTGCTTATGTGCACTCTTTTCCCCTCTCTTGGCTAAATCATTTTAAATTCTTTCAGCTTTGTTAGACTCTGAAGTGCCCGAGACATTCATCTAAATGCCTTCCTTTAAAAGCTGTCTGCCTGACCTTGCAGCATTTTTCACATGATTTTTGGGTTGGGTTGATACATCTTTCTAAAGGTTCTTAAAAAGTGTTGTCAAATACAGTATTAGACAAAAGTAATGTAAAAAGGAATCTTTTTAGTAAAAAAGGCAACATCCAAAGAGACTTTTTAGTGAATAATGAAAATAAAATCATTTTAAATTAAAATTCTTTCAATACAGCATTCATAGAATCATAGAATCATTTAGGTTGGAAAAGACCTGTTAACGTAGCACTGCCAAGTCCACCACTAAACCATGTCCCTAAGCGCCGCATCTACATGTCTTTTAAATACCTCCAGGGATGGTGACTCAACCACTTCCCCGGGCAGCCTGTTTCAATGCTTGACAACCCTTTCAATGAAGAAATTTTTCCTAATATCCAGTCTAAACCTCCCCTGGCACAACTTGAGGCCATTTCCTCTCGTCGTATTCAGACTTACCTTCCCTATAAAATGCCAATTTGAATTACTCTGTTTCTGGTTATCTGCTTTTGATTGTTATGAAAGCAAATACCGCTAAATTCTATCTATATAGCCTGTATATTTAAGTACAGCAGCAAGAAGTTATTCTGTATGCTGAAATTAGTGTACAGATAACATCTGTTTTGTTTAGTTATTGGTAGTTTAAAGAAGAGAGGAAAAATCTTTCATTAACTTTTTCTTGACTATTATTTGTCCATATCTATTATTATATTTGTTAGTTATTGCCTAAATGATTAATCACTTTCTGACATCAGGTTGTTTTTTTTTTTTTAGCCAACTGCACCTATAATATGTGAGTTTTTGACAATGATGGCAGTGTGTCATACAGCAGTTCCAGAAAGAGAAGGTGATAAAATTATATATCAAGCAGCATCTCCAGGTGAGAATCAAATAATTGAGTGAACATATGGTAAAGTATTCTATCAACTCAATAAGCAGATTTTATTCAAAGTTTATTGGGTTTTTTGAGATATCTTCTGAAATTAAAAAAGAAAACATATCCCTCAAAAAAGAATCGGTGTCAGCTAAAATCAGTCATGTCAAAAAAAGGATTTAGACTTTTCTAATTTGCTTTAGAAAATACATATAGATGTCCTGTGGATTATGTAAGGGCAAAGGGTGATTAACCATACATTCCTAAGGTGGTGTCAGATGGCTGTGGAAGTCTGAAGGAACTGCTCAAATGCAAATAGAAATCACACCAGGAGACAAATTGATGTCCTTGTTTGTGAACCTATTCTGTACTTGGTAACTATGGTATAGATTTAGAAGAAAGACTGTGTTTGTAATCAAAAATGAACAAGAAATGTTTTTACCAGGATAAGTGTTGTGGTAAGTTCTACTATAGAGTGATAAAAGAATATAGTGCAAAATGATGAAGCAAGGCAAAAATGATTAAAATATACTCAGCTCTGCTGAGCTAATTTATTATGACAAGCTACGATGGGAGAAATTACATGAAGCGCAGAGAGTCTCCAGTCTACCTCTTCCCTGTCTGCCCCAGCTCCTAGGTGGCCATCTCCCTGGAAATTCTGTTCTTCAACAACTGGAAAACAAGGGCAGAGGTAGGGCCATAAATAAAGCTAACTGGGCCATGGCAGTGTTTTATTGAGCATAGTGAGCAAATTCAGTTCTGACATCTTGAGCCATTTGGAGGGAACTGATGCATATGGGAGTCTGGGTCGCTGTCTGAAATGTTTCCTGAATGTAGGCATTGAAATTATCTATTATTTACAGGAATGACTTATCACTCTTTTCTTCTAAAACAGAACTCACACAAAAAGGAAAGTACCTTGTCCAGTGCCCTACTGAGTAAGGCACTTGCCTAGCAATTAGGAGGTTTGTTCTCTAAGCCACGTTTAGTCAACATCCAAACTTCTGAAAGTAGGCTTATGGGGAGAAGGAAGGCAGGAACTCTTGTCTCATGATGAAGCAGTGTCATTGTCTCTACTGGAATGTATAATTCATTAGTTTACAGCTTAAAACTTTGAAGAGGATGCCCTTGCTACTGAGCTGAGAGGTGTGTTTCTTTGGGGGCTTATTTTCACTGAATTGTAAACTCATTTCATCACAGTTTTAACAGGAGAAACAGAGAGTTCTTTACAACACCACACCTAATCTTAAAAATCTATAAAGGAAAAAGGAAGTCAAAAGTAGAAAAGCTTGGACTGTGTCCAGTAAATCATGGGGTATACTAACAGTTTTCTGGTACATCTGTAAAATAACTAATTGACTTGTTGCAGATGAAGGAGCATTGGTCAGAGCAGCCAGGCATCTTCGTTTTGTATTCACTGGAAGGACACCTGACTCAGTAATCATAGAGTCTGTAAGTTTGTTGGAGTAACTTTGTAGTTTGCTGTGTTTACTATTGTCATAGTAAATAATTTCTGAATAACTGCGTCATGGTACTTACCTATTGAGATGTTGTTTGTTTCTTTTTGGCTCTTTTCCTTGAGGTTTTTTGCATTATTTCTCAGCTTTTTTTTTTTTTTTTTCCCTATTCTTCAGCTAGGACAGGAAGAGAGATATGAACTGCTAAATGTCCTGGAATTTACAAGGTAAACAGCATATTGTGCTCTTAGCGTCTTTTTGTGAAAATATTTTTATTAATTTCTTTTATGGATAAAAATGTTTGCATTTTTTATGTTTGTACAGGCAAAGTGTGCAGGTTATGTGGCTTTTATCTCTACAGTATGTCATCATACTATAGGCAAAGCAGCGCACATGATTAAGATCACACTCCTGGTTTTATTGTAAAACGTTTTCAGAGGCATGTATTTTTTCCATTGTCTCCTTTTTGGCTAATATTTTTCACTTTTGCGCAAAGATTCAAAAAAACCCTGATCTCAAAACTTAAAAAATTATGCGAAAAGACAGCATAGGAAAGTATTTGAACTTTTAAATGTATTTCTGAAAGCCCTAGCACCATGTGCTTTATTAAAAAATATTTGGGGACAGAGGGGGAAGTTTCAAGTAAGTGTTAGACATAACTTGTATTTGCCTTGACTGGTAGAATGAAATTTTGCATTTGACCTTAAATACACTTGCTTATGACTTGTTTAAATACTTTAGACTGAAACCCGTTCCCTTCTGAGCAGCATCACTAGAGCATTGGCCTGTTAGTTTTCTTGGAAACTGAGTTTATCACATACTTTGCTTTCAGTAAAAATTTTCTGTCAAAGCTGTTGGAATTATAAAGGTACCCATAAGAAATCTGGATGCAATTTTGCTTGCTGTGTAAATCTGTTTAAATTGTATCCGTGTATGCAGTCTGTGTTCTAAGTATTTGTGTAGGCCCATTGCTTACTTTGGCACAGGATGGGGAAGAGATTTGTATGTAGGGGAAATTCTTTTTTTCATAGAACGATTACTTGTAATTGTTTACTTGCGGAAAGTGATCATTGTTTTCCTTCCTGTCCTATTATGTTTCCCTTGAGCTTAGCTAAAGAAGCAAAAAGACCAAAAAACAATACTGGAGAGATGAGCTGAAGATGTATAGGTTGGATGAAATGAGAGTAGTTGTTGCCTGTAGTTATAATAATAGCAATAATAATGTGAAACATAAGGATCACCGCAGTGAAAAAAAAATAATGCCACAGAAAGTAATTTTTATAGTTTTGAATGTCTTTTAATGACTGCTTGCAATTAATGTTGTTTTTATATATTGTAGAGGACATACTTGAAATTTTTCAGATTTATGCCATGGTTTCATTTTTCTGTAGGCACTTTTTTCACTTTCTGTTCTGGAAAGTTAGTATGTAGCACAAAGTGCATTGTTGTTAGTTTGACATCTGTGAAAGTTTATACTGCATTCATGGAGTAGCAGTGAAGGATTCTTACTTTGTTTCTGGTTTTGATCTTTGTCTTGATTTCATAGATCTTTTTAAACTTCTGTGTCAGTCTAAAATTGTAATTTAAACAGTGATACTTTATGGAGAAAGGAGAATTGCTTTTAAATCTTAACCTTTGGAGGATTAAGTTTTTTGGTGGATACCAATCACCCAACTTTATTAAGCATTCAGTTTTTATAGCAGTTTTTGTTCTTATTCTGTAATATTTAGCTTTGCTTGGAACTGACTTGTTGGAAGCACTAGAGGTCACCCTTGTTCTGCAGCAAGAGAAATTTTGGCTTCAAAACGTAACACCATCTGTATGGGTAGGAGCATGTACCTTCAGAGAAGTAATCTGTAGCAATTAAACTGTTGAGTTAAGAGTTTCCAGGTGTTTTAAGTTTTTCCCAGAAAAAATGCAAACTAGTTCCTTGCTACCTTCCAGTAAAAGCCAAATAACTGTTCTGCAAGTAGAGTGCAACAGTGCCAACATTTGATAGGATAGTCTTTCAGAGAAGTATGTTACAGAAGTAAAACTTGTAGGAATGCTTGGTAGAGTTGTCTTTTATGGTATTCTCTTTTTACGGTGATCATAGCTGTGCCCGTGAAAAGAGAAGTAGTATACTTATACAATATGCTAATTATACTTTGTTCATAGCAAGGAAGTAGCTCTCAGTCTAACTGGCAGGTGAGCATGCTGAAAGCTACTGATAACCCTTAAACAGCTGACAGTTATTCCTAAAATGCAGTGCTAATCTCTGTGGAGCAAATAGTGTCTTGATAACTAGTGTTGAGCTGCCTCCAGTAGATACTCTGCTCAGATGCCATGTGGTACCTTAAGCTCAAGGAAGCGAAGAGTTGTTCAGACCCTCTGCTGTTCAGGGCTCCCCATAACGTCAGGGAAGGAATTGTGCAGTGTTGTGCCCGTTCTTGTATTCTGTTACCTGGAACTGTAACAAATAGAAAAACTGCAGCTGTCTCTTGGGAGCCAAAACCAACTCCTAGGCTATGTATCTATGGGACGGGGGGAAGCAAGGCACTATGTCAGTTAAGGATCCAGAAGCAAAGAATGTCTTATGCTTACTGTCATCCCTATGTCGAGTATGTGCATTGTCTTTTCACCTGGGCCAGTTGCAAAGATGAGCATGATTTTGAGCGTGTTATGCCTTGTTCAGTAAGCATAATCGATGTCCACTATCAGTGCATAAATTGCACATCAGTCCTTGCATCAACATGTCATTACTAGCAGAGCTACTGAATGAGGTTTTGACTTGTATCTGCTTGTTTTGTTAGAGGAATTAATTGAATTTTTAGCACCAGAATTAATTTCACGGGCAAGTCTTGTACTAATAATATCGCAATATCTGGAGTATGTACCATCTATTGATTTAATGACTGATTTTCATCTGCATCACTGAGGCATATCCCCACAGTCTAGCAGAAACAGTCTGTGATAGTTACATAGTAAAGCTTCTTGTCTAAAAACTAAGTATTTTTTATTTAGAATGCCAGTGTATTTACCTGAAATAGCAATAGCTTGACTAGTCCCCTGTCTGATCGGTTTTACAAATAATCCACATTGCCTTGACTGTTGTACTCGGCAGGCAGAAGGCCTCCTTCTAGAGCGTTTGAGACCTTACCTCCTCTCCATCATCTCAGCAGGTCCAGAATCATAGAATCATAGAATCATTAAGGTTGGAAAAGACCTCTAAGATCATCAAGTCCAATCGTTAACCCAACACCACCATGCCCACTAAACCATGTCCCTAAGCGCCTCATCTACACGTCTCTTAAATCTTTCCAGGGATGGTGACTCCACCACTTCCCTGGGCAGCCTGTTCCAAGGCCTGACCACTCTTTCAGTAAAGAAATTTTTCCTAATGTCCAGTGTAAACCTCCCTTGGCGCAACTTGAGGCCATTTCCTCTCGTCCTATCTCTAGTTACTTGGGAGAAGAGACCAACCCGCACCTCGCTACAACCTCCTTTCAGGTAGTTGTAGAGCGCGATGAGGTCTCCCCTCAGCCTCCTCTTCTCCAGGCTAAACAGCCCCAGTTCCCTCAGCCGCTCCTTATAAGACTTGTTCTCCAGACCCTTCACCAGTTTCGTTGCCCTTCTCTGGACACACTCCAGCACCTCAATGTCCTTCTTGTAGTGAGGGGCCCAAAATGTATTGATTCTGTTTTGTGACTGAAAACTCATACTTCTAAACGTAGAAGAAGAATGAGTGGCTGACAGAGGAGGTACCAAAACCTCTGTAGCAGTGTTTGTTTTCTGTCGTTGTGTGCTTACACTCTGTGAAAAAATTTTCATCTTAAACCTGAGACAGATTTTAAAGTAACAGTGGGCTCATCAAGAGCTACTTCTGCATTCCCAGATTCTGGATGTGGCAAATCTTGTGACTGAGGGAGGTATTTCTGTCCCCTTAAGGTGCTTCTGTCCATCTGTAATCCCATGGCAATTACATAGGAATTACCAGCTATTCTGCCTCCTTGTCACGACCCAAAGGGTTACCCAGCCTGTGTATAGAGATCACAACAGTCGGTTTGCAGGATTCCATAACACATAAGGGCACGGCTTTATTTTCTAAATTCCTTTATTACAGATTATTACAAATTACTATTAGTAAAGCAAGTATACTCATGAGTATTAAAGAAAGTACATTTATATTTTAATAGTAGCAGCAATTGATAGTAGCAGCAGTAGCATCCATATATTACAAGTTGCTACTAAATTATCAATAGTGAAGAAATACACTTAAAATCAGTTACCTATATGTGCATACACACACACATATGTATATATTATTCAAAATAATACAGGTACAGTGCTAACCAAACCGCTCCCAGGAGTGAGGTCTCAAAGTGGGTGATGGACAAAGTCTCACTTCGAAGAGTGAGTCTGGAGTCAGCCAGGTGTTCCTGGTGATGGTCCAATAACTTGTCTAGGAGATCTCAGAGAAAAATTCATGCAGGGGGAGTTCTTGGAGATAGAGACTCCATTTTGGGTAAAAGCGAGTCATTTTTATATGGCAGAGGCATAAGAGGATGTAGGACACCACCACCTGGAGCAGTCAATAGATGCTGCTGATTTCTAGTTTTCACCTGGGACAGCCAATAGATGATGGTGTTTTCTTTTCTCTCAGACCAATTTTTATTTTTCCAGACTTTTTTCCTGTTCTTTCAGTTAGAACAACCAATAGCAGTTGTCAATTCCTACTTTCTCAGGATGTTTTCTCCCTTTTCCAGACTTTTTCACCTTTCCAGACAATAAGTTGCAGTTACAGTTCCTTGTTTTGTGCTTATTAATGGTTTCTAGGTACCCAGCTGTACTTCATAGATGCCGGTTGCACTTCTCAAGGATGTTTCTGGTTCCCAGGCTAGCAGTTCCCAGGCTGGCAGACATTTCCTCTGTCGGTGTTTCAGCAGACATCTTCTGTTCAGTATTTTTCCCCTTATAACCAAGTCGCCTTTATGGCTGCTCACATGACTCCTATGGTGAAGAAAACAAAAATAAAAAAATGGTCTCGCACTGACAGTTATTCGTAGTAGTGCAATTTTGTGGTTTTCTGTATTTCACCAATAAAAGGAAATAAAACTGTCACTGTAATGAAAAGGCTCATAAAAAGTTGAAGGCCTTGACAGTAAGTCCTGCTCATTAGCTTTATTGCAGTTTTACTGAGAAAATATATGTCAGTCAAGATTCAATATCTGTCTTCATAGCTAAAGTTTCAGAATGCTATAGGAGAACATTGGTTATTCTCTGATACATCTTCAGTAGATTGATAGGCAGCTGTATGCAGAACTTCAGGATTGGAATCTTCTGGAATTGCAAGACAAGTACAAAACTGCTGAGTTTTTACCTGTCAAGGGCATATATATCAAATTATTGTTTATACAAACCCTAAATTACTGTAATTCCTCCACAGTTCCTTAACTGAACATTCAGACAAGTGTAGTAAATTTAAGTAGCAGTAGGCTAGATAATCTTTCCAGGAATCAAAGTGGATCTGAGACTTGCTTTTATTTTAGGCAATTTAAGTGCATTTTGGATGATCTGAATTTCTCCACTGTTGTCTAAGGAGATCCCCAACTAGACACTGTCTAAGGGTTTCTGGAGTTCTGCTTATCTGAGGTTTTTTGGATTAGAAATGAAATGGAGAAAGAGTTGCAGCAGTTAATGCCTTTTTATGCTCTCTTGTGCAATATTCACACTGGAAATGTAATTTAATACTGCTGTTCAGATGTCTGTACTTGAAGCAAAGTGCACACACAGGTGGAATAGGAAAATATTTTCTTGAAGATACTATTCAGTCAGTTACTTCCAATAATTATGAAATTCTTTCCTCCACCTGTCTCCATGCATTCCACTTATAGGATGTTTTCCATGGCAGTCTGAACTTCATGAACCATTCATACAGTAATACTATTTGATGATCTATAAACGGGATCCAGTTCCAACAGGAACTGAAACTGTAAAAGGACCGTTTACTTCCATCTCTTTTATGTATTTTACTGTGAACTGTTGTATGAGAAACATGTTGTGTTCCCTGAATAGTTTCTGTAGATTATTTTAAAAGTTGAAGTTTGAAAGAATTATGGTATAAATACACATTTTGACTGGACATGATCTTGAATCTAAAGTATGCTTGTTGGAGGACCTCAAAGGGAAGACAGAAAGCAGAGAGTGACAGTCTTCTCCATGCTTTCCTCCAATTCCTACCTCAGTCATGAGGACAAAAAGAAAAAATACTTAGATCTCATTAATGACTGAGAACCAGAGAGTAGTTAAAATGAGGCGAGCCCCTTTCCAATTCTTAGCATACTTAAAACTTTGCGTGATGAATGATACTCTGGGATGACAGTAATAGGATTGCAGCACAGTACAGTGTACGAGAGACTGTTTGGCTGGGAAGGAAGAAAAAGCTGAAACGATCTGTGATGCATTGCCACTATATGATATTGGTCACAAGTGCTTTGTGCTTTAAGATGCTTTTTTGTGATCAGTAGATAGTGTTCAGATGAAGGTGAAGATTTTCAAATTTGTGTTTATGGAAAAAAGGCCTACAGAAATATGCACAGAAAAACAGCATTCACTCTAATTATTAGACAGTAAAACTGTTTTTCCATCCCAGTCACCTGAGAACATAATTCAGAATAGATAGCCCTTGCTTTTTTTCCTTTGTCTTATATAAGATATATATTGATATTCTTAGGTAAAATGTTGGTAAATATTTATGTTTGCGAACCACCTTATATAGGTCATTTATTTCTCTTTCAGCACTAGGAAGAGAATGTCAGTGATAGTTCGCACACCATCGGGAAAGTTAAGACTCTACTGCAAAGGAGCTGTGAGTTTTATTCTGTTTTCACTGTATCAAAGAACATGCGCTACCAATACAAATATGAAAGCAAAAGGTTGTTGTAACTGCAGAGAAAACATCGAAAATGTGGGGGAAGGAATGTTGATGCCTTTTTCAATTTACATTATTTTACTATGTAGCTGTTTAATGTGATGAACTAGTTAATGTCGTCTTTTACTAACTGCCTATGAAGGTATGACAGACCTGTTCATTCTATTCTTTGTGCTGGACTAATACCTTTATGCTTCCTGTTAATTGCTTCCTTCTGTACTCCAAGAAAATGGATGAATGTATGGATTCATCTATTAGTTACTTGCTGGAGTAGCTGAGGATTAGGTAGAAATAGTAATTAGCATAAGTGACTAGATGGGAATTTTAACCTACCATTAATGTTATGCCAGAAGTAAATTTTCCTGAAAACAGGATCTATGGGAAGATACCTTAATCATAATGTATCTGGGAATGGCAGAGTTGCTCATTAGTTCTTGTTCTGTATCTTAAGTCAAGTTTGAGGGTGAGGGGGATGCAAATCCAGTTTCTGAATCGTTTAAAAAAAATGAAGTTGATTGAATATAAATGTCCATTCTGTGTCTTCTCAAGTGGAGAGAAGAAGCTGATGTTAATATTCTGTATATCAGGCTGGCTACAAAAACCTGAGAATGGCAGTTATGAAACACTATTTTTATCTTGTGGGCTTAATATTAAAGAGGAAGACAGCATTTTAGGAGATCAAAAGAATTCACGTGGCAAGCCAAAGGAAGATGCAGTGCTTTTCAAAATGAAGGGAAATAACAGCAAAAAATGTAGGAGAGAAAAACTGCATCATAGCAGAATTTGTAAATTTAGAGAATCTGAGGATTTGGAATGTCCTTTTTTCTTTCCTCTGAAATAAAATTACTTCTATTCATTTTTGATGCTGAAATAAATTAATGCAGTGCTGCATATTTTTCTGCCACTTTCCTACATGAGTTGTATTGTCTACACAAAAAACCTCATTTTTCTATTAAATTGTTCTGAGTTCATTTTATTTGTTTTGTAGGATACTGTAATTTATGACCGTCTTGCTGAAAGTTCAAAATACAAAGAAATCACCTTAAAACATCTAGAGCAGTTTGCTACAGAAGGTGGGTGATGTTATTCAATATAAAACTAAATATGAAATTCAGTTACTGCTCAGCTTTTCAGTTTTGCAATTTTATGTTGCTGTAATGTTTAATTCACGTTAAGTTTGAAAATTATGTTTTAGTAATGCCTCCCAAAAAAAGATCTTCCTCTTCCTGAGAAGTTTCAGTAATAAGTTCATGCTTAATGAAAAAAAACCACAAGTACACAGTGGAATCTTTCAAACAAAATACGTTTTTCCAGAGAGCAAACACATTGCATGTTGCTTGTTTCCCATGATCACTTTCATGTCCCACACACAATGAATGCTGTGGGGATGACACACAGGAAGAAGTAGCCAAAGTGAAGATGCTTGGAAGTGACTATCGTAGCTTTATGCTATATTACTTCTGTCACCAGTCGCAATAAGGGGAATTGTCAGCACTAGCTTTCCATATGGTGTGTTTTGGTATCTCTGCTGTTTTAACAATCACTCTTACAAAGCAGTGGATTCCACAGTATAGATGTGAGCAGGAAAGCAGACTGTAGAAAGGTTTCTGCTTTCATGCAAGTTCTTCTAGCACAGTTCCTAGATCTTCCATGCCATGCCCTCTTTCTGGTATCTTAGTAAAGGATTATAGAGTCGTACTGTGAAATATCATAGTGTTTTAATTTATTGATGAGTTGGGAGAGAGTAGTTGGAAGCAGAATTATAATAGCTTTGGGAATCTGAACTGCAATTTTTTTATATCTTCATGTTTTTTAGTACACTGTTACTAGAACATTAAAATTGTCTTTAATGTGTCTTAAGAAATAAGCTTACACTGGAAAGCAAACTTCATTAAAATATTTTCCTTCTAAAGTACAACCTTTTGATGACTGATGTCTGGCCAAATCTTCTTGTATCAGGAAAGATCCTTTTTCTGTCTGTATACGTATGACTTCCCTAATTTTTCTCCTTTGGTTTATAATGGAATTTAGCGTTTCGATTAGTGTCATAGTCAGCACCTTCAGTCTCCTGATTCTGTTAGTGACAGCAGAAGCAAGCCACAGATCTGTCTCCTTTGTTAATTTTCTATATCAAGATCTCTGCAGGAAACATTTGGTTAGCCTTAAATAATCTTAGAGTATCAAAGTTATATTATATTATACAATATAGTTAAAAGCAGAACTAAAACCAAACAAATTTGATGGTACAACATGAAGCCTCAGTTACACCCTTTGAGCTCATGAATCTAGTCATGTGAGCTGATTGGCCAGTTTGGGGTTTTATAAAGGGCTAACCAGGATCAGTCAAGGAAAAGTTACTCAGATGTGAAGTTAGTTTGGGTCATAAGGCTATATATTTGGTTACAGAAAAGGTAAAAATAGATTAATATCTGCTATCCTGTGTGAACTGATATGAAAATTTCAATCCAATTCTTAATTAATGCTCTCATTAAATGAGTGGTACAACTGGTATCATTTTTTCCTTAGCAGTTAGATTGGATCAAATGAATCAATATAAAAAGTGAAAAATTCCACCCGTCTTTAAAACCACTGTACATACATATTAGTGCTAAGAAGTTTGTTCAAGTACTTTTTGTACCCTTCTTTTCAACAGATGAAAAGATTTACTGTTCAGAAGAGTGAATTGCTAACTTCTGAAAAGCATAAAATTCAATCTTTTTTAAAAAAAAAAAAAAAAAACACAAAACTTAAGTATGTCTCTCTCTGGAATCGATTAAAGAAATTTATATTTATTTTTGCATCAGATTTAAATTGCAGCCGATGACGTTGCAAAGTTTCTCATGTGTATCCTTTCATGTGGCAGTACAGTATGTCCTTGGCATTTGCTGCCTGCTCTTGGTGTGTTGTTCAAAAATGAAGTGGTTAGCATGGCTGGCATTTATATTTAAGCATTTATTAAGCTTGAGTGTTAATATCTGCTTGGATAAATAGAGAAAGTGTATAATTTTTCTGTGTTGTTGTTCCAGTCTGTTAAGAAGCAGACTTAACGATATTTTGTTTTCCACAAATACTTTTTTTAATTAAAAATAGAAGAAATAATTAGGCTCTGACTTAAAAAGAGAAAGCAAATGCCTTGAAAAAATTCTTTGCTGATATTCCTGATCTCTTCGTTCTATCATCTGTGTAAAATACTTTGAAAGAATTGTGGAAATAGTATTACTATTAGTCAGTCATAAATTCCTTTCTCCCCTCTCACCTCATATTTATTTCTTTGGACCTTGCTAGCGTATCCGTATTTCATGCAGGGAAAAAAAAAACCCAACCAGTTGATTTGTCAGCCTTAAGTTAATTCTTTAGGTCTAGATGGTGAAAGGCTGTGTTCCTAAGGCTGTTCACTTGTCGAGATATCAGGATTACAGATGGTTTTCACCCTGAAGGTATGAAATTACTGTCTTACATCTAAGACACATATGTATTATTTCATGCCCAGCCTCTTGATCATTTCAAAATTGCTGCTGGTGCCGAGCTGTAGACAACAGGAACCTGTGAACAAATAAAGGTTGCATTTAGCTATCCCTGGTTATGGTGCTTCTAGAGGAGAGGCCAAAGGCACTAACTACATTGGTCCTGCCTGTCCCCCTCCTAAGTCTACCTGCCTACAAATCGTGGCTTCATAAGACATCATTTGGCTAGAGCAATGCTCTTCTCACTATATGAAGAGTTATGCCAATTTCATGCTCTAGAAATCTAAGAATCTCATAATAAATGAAAGTGAACTGTTAGGACATTCACACCTGGGTACTTAAATTGAATGTAAATGTGTGTTGTCAAAAAATAGATGTTTCTTGTAATCTTGCAGTCTCAAATTCTCACTGTAATGCTCAATTCAGGTTTCTGCTGAAGGAAGAAAAGCTATTAAGTATAACAGCTCAAAGATTAAGTAAAATCTCCAAATGTTGCCTGTACACAAAGATTTTATTTTAAGAATTTGGAAAGCTGAAAGAATCTCTTGAGATGGGAAAATTAAATCTGAGTGGATTCAAAGTCGGCTTCTAGATGGTAAATTTCAAACTTCAGCTGAGAATTTCCTAAGGATATTGAGGAGGGGTGAAGAAGAGGGTAGTTGTAACATGCTGATATATTTTAACTTTATTGCTTTTCAGCGTAGCAACATTTAAGTTTATAATTTTTTTTTCAGAAATATAATTCAATTTTATAGTTTTAATGTTCCTAAAAATGTAATGTATATACCTGTTCAGCAAGTGTCATTTGGGATTGCTTCATGTTTTGTTTGCAGTTTAAGATAAGTTGAATCTTGTGTAAAATTTCATTATTTTTCCCCTGAAGTGTATCACCTGTATTACATTCAGTTACCTTGCAAAAGTTACTCTGTTGAATAAGTTGCTATTTATCTCATTTTTACTTTATACATATTAAAAAAAGTTCTTCAAGATGTGCAGCAGTAAGTTGAAAATCGGCATAAGCATACGTAAAATACAGAGTAAATTCAGCTTTTAGCAGTTACTCATTGTAGGCATATCAAGGAAGGGACTAACAAATACTGAATCATACTTACTATCTGCTTTCTCTTTAGGCTTAAGAACTTTGTGTTTTGCTGTGGCTGAGATTTCAGAAAGTGATTATCAAGAGTGGTTAGATGTCTATCACCGAGCTTCTACAGCTATACAGAACAGAGCACTCAAACTTGAGGAGAGCTATGAACTAATTGAAAAAGTATGTGTAGCTTTCTGGGTGGGTGGTGTTTTGTTTTTTGTTTTTTTTTTTTTTTCGGGGGGGAGAGGGCAGGGCGAGGAGAGCGGTTTTCTAATTAATGGCCTTGCTTTCTATACCATGAAGTCTGAATCATTATTGAGAAATAATGCTTAGACAGAAAAAAATCTAGCAATATACTGACAGCTGTGTCATGTAGACCTTGCAGTCTAGATGATCAAAATGAATGAAAGATTAATTTGACAAAGCTTTTGCAGCAAGTAGCTACCTTGCCAGAAAGTATTGATTTTGTGTTGAACTACTGGAAAGCTTTTTTTCAGGGTTGCTCTATTGTATAAAAAAGTGTAATAACAGGCAAACATTATCTGCTTCATTGTATAATGATCTTAGAACCATAGAGTATTTAAGATTGGAAGGGAGTTCTGGAGGTCATCTAGACCTGCTCAAAGCAGGGCTAATTTTGCTTGCCCAGCACTTCAATGAAGTTTTGAGTATCTGCAAGGAGGGTGTTTTCCCAGCTGCAGTAGGCAATTTTTTTTTTAGTGCTCAACTATTCTTTTTCCCCTTCTTCTGAAATAAAATTTCTGTTGCTGCAGAATGTGACTGTTACCTCTTGCCCCTTCACCATGCACGTCTTAGAGGAAGATGGCTTCTCTGCAAGCCCTCTTCAGTTAGCAGAAGGCAGCCGTGGATGCCTTCCCTTAGCTTTATTTTTTCCCATCCTGTTTCCTCAGCTACTCTTAACACAGTGTGTGTGCTCTGAGCCCCAGGCTGTTTTTGTGTCCCTCCACTGGACTTGCTCCACTTCATCAACCTCTTTTGTACTGAAGGCCCAGAAAGGAAGGTAATACCCAGATGCAGCCTCACAAAGAGCAGAGCCGTAATCACTTCCCTTGAGTTCCTGGCTACTCCAGCAGCAGCATTGCCAAGCATATGGTTAGGCTTCACTGCCTCAACAAAAAAGGTTCCCAGGGCTCTTAAAGTATAAGCAAAAGGAGTTCATGAGACCAATATTGCTTGAAGTTTTGATAATTGCCTTTGGGGCAGGGTTTGGTTTTGTGGTTTTTTTCCTTGGAAAGGGTAAGAGAGATTACATTGATGAAACTGCTTAAAATTCAGAGCCTCAAAAATCTGCAGTGTTTAATTCATGAAAAGAAGAATGAGGGTATATAGCTTCAGTCACTTGTGGGACTTCAGTTTACGTAGATGAGCAGTTTATCCAGACATGCACAAGACAGTCTTAAAACTATAAAACTTTGTTAACACCATGGCAACCCTGCACCATTACAAATTTTTGTATTAGCTGCACAAGTACTTTCTCAGCATGTCATATGCAGGCTATGCTGCAACCAGGATTGCACACTATTAGGTTTATAATGGTGTCATTAACAGGGTTTTAGCTAGTTTTAAAGATACAGAAATACGAAGTATAAAAATGGCTGTATTCACAAAAACCATATAGATTTGCTGCATGAGAAGTTAAAACCAAACATAATCAAGATTATAGTTTTAAGACTAAGATGAATTGACAGGTGGGTTTTTTTTTTTTTACAAGGTGAAGAAAAATCATTACAAGTGAGGGAAGACATAATAATAGCATTCCTTAAGTCTTCAAATCAGAGAGGTGCCCCTCAGGAAAAGGTAGCTGTTGCTGAACAAGCTACTGAGCTTGTGAATAATTGGGTGAAGTTTGAGTGGTCATGCTGTGCAGTTTGTCAAGCCACGTGGATATTTAACTTGAAGCTCATAGGAATAAACTGGAAGATCTTTATTAGTTGATACCAAATCTGATTAATGAATTTAGAGAGCCTTAATCTTGTCACAAATATGGAAAGTTGACAAACAGAAAGATTAAAACTGAATTTAAACCGAAAAAACTGCATGTACTGAATATTTTATGTTCACAGAACCTTCAGCTGCTTGGAGCAACAGCAATTGAAGATAAACTACAAGACAAAGTGCCTGAAACCATAGAGACACTTATGAAAGCAGACATAAAAATTTGGATACTTACTGGGGACAAACAAGAGACTGCCATTAACATCGGTATTATACTTGCATTTATTTGATGGCTTTGTTACAGATACAGAAATGATAGAAGTTGCTAGAGTAAAATTGCTTTCAGAACAGAAAGGTATCTTGTAAAAAATAATAATATTATATGGCATTCCAGAATTTAAATGTTATCTTATTTTCAGTCACTGGTAGGGGAAGAGTGGGGAATAGTGGATTCTTCCTCCGTTAAAACAGTAACAGCAAGAAAAATTCATGTTATCATAGAGAGGAAGAAAAAAATAGGCTTTTTTGTAGCATCTAAAATTAATTAAAAATAATACATTGTTTGGGTTTTGACAGTGAGAGGGAATAATATTAAGAAAATGTAAGTATTCTTAGTTTCCCTTCTGTATTTTTCCTTCTTTCCAAGAAAGCTGGTAGGGACCATAACCTTAACTAAAGCAAAACAGTATAGATTGTGCATTAAAGTACTATAAACTTTACCATCAATCAGAGGTTTCCTTTTATTCTTCCCTTTTATTATAAAGGAGGAAAAAAAAGGATCGTGAATTAACTAATTTCAATAGCAATAAGTCTGTATTTTTAAATAGTAATACATGAAAGCTGCATTTAAGATTTAATATTCTTTGCATGTGAGCATATCAGCCCTTCTGCAGTAGCCTAGATATGTGCGCAAAATAAAATGTTATTTTGGTCATACCCTTTTTATTACTATTACTATTTTTAATCTTAAAGAACTTTTTGTATGCACGTGATACAGTTAATCTAAGGTTATTTTCATTCGTACCTTCAGGTTTGAGGCAATGCATTTAATACCAGTATTTTCACTTTATTAAGAATGGTGAGTGATACATATTTGTCTAGGCAGCCTGCATCATTAGTACACAGCATACGTTCTGTTGAAAGCATCAAAGAATAAAAGAATAGGAACATGTGTATATGCAAATTTTGTATGAAGTGCAAGTTGCATTCCAAAAAATTGCAAGGGAGATCTGTTTGCTCTTTTCTGTAACTCCCTGTAAAGATGTTTCTTGTTCTTCTGCTGAGCACCTCTGTGAAAAAGGCACAAGAGTTGCAAGTTGCAGCAAGGAAAATTCTGACTGTTCTGACTTAATACCTGTATGTCTAATTTTTATAGAATGTGGTATAATTTTTTTAACATTGAATTCATCTGGGGGAGTTTTATTTTTAATTCTGCCTGTAGTTCTCTTACAGGAAAAAAATGCTTTGTTATATTATAATGGATTTTGTGGAACAAACTTTTGAAAACAAAAATGTTTTTAACAGGTCACTCCTGTAAACTTTTGAGAAAGAACATGGGACTAATTGTTATAAATGAAGGCTCCCTTGATGTAAGTAAAATCTGCAAAGTTTTCAGTTAATGAAACGTTATTTTACTGCTTAAAATATCCAGACATCATGCAGGTGGCCTGAAAAATAACTTAGAGCATCTATTTATCTGGACAAACAAAGAAAATTCTGCTAAAACCACGGTTTGGTGGGGGGTTTTGTTTCTGTTGTTTATTTTGGGGGGTTGCTTTTTTGTTTGTTTCTGTAATCTTCTCAGTTAATTTTAGTATTGCATACTTGGAAGACCATATGGTGTTTGTGACAAAATGTTACTGAATAACTAGAAACTTAGTCCACAGCTTCCAAAACCACAGTGTAGCTACTACACAAATGAACTTCAGAATGATGAGCAAACAAATTCCATGTAGTGGTATGACACCATCCATGCAGGCACAAAGCCAGGAGCTTCACATGCTTCTAGTAGCACCCAACAGTGCCCAAACAAACTAATCCTAAGTTGCTTTCTAATGCCGTTCCTTATAGAATACTTAGTACTTAGTATCTGCCAAAAATTAATTGTTATTGTGTGGTTAAACAGCTGAAATTGTAATCAGATTTTGAAGTACCAGTAAGAGTTAAAACTACCAACTTGCAAGTGTACAGTGTTTTGTAGAGAAGACATTCTTTAGATAAGGTAGGAATGCAATATCAAGTGAAAAAACCCATGAGGGGGAAAGAACTTAAATCCTTTTACTACCCTGTAAGGGAGTCTTAAATGAACTTAGAAGTGGAAGAATTTTCTCAGTGGGAAAACTCACTGTCTAGAAGGCTTCAGGAGGAAACCCTGAAGTGAAGTTTACCTTACTCTATATTGTGGTCAGGTAGCTCAAGATAGGACTAAGGGAGAGAAAGTGAAAAGAAAGTATGAGAATCAGCAAGAGTGCCTAAACTGAAGGATTCCATGGTAGCATGTAAGAGTAGGCTACAACATGAATTAAAATACTACTTATTTTAAATAAGTACTTATTTAAACGTTTTGACCCATTTAGAATAACAGATTTTTAACATTAGTATGAATTTAATTGTGATAATTGTATTTCAAATATAAATTGTTTTAAGCAACATATTTTTTTGCTGATGAAATTTAAAATAAAATCCCAAACACAGGACAGGAAGAAGCTGTTGATTAATGTCTGGAACCAGAGTCTGTTGATACAGTAAGCAACTTTTGACACAAGTAGCCTGTGATATTAATGAAGAGAGACAATTTTCTTTTCTTAGTTTACTTCATTGGATAGCTTTTGAAAGATTGTGATCGTTGTTTGTTGAAAAAACAGGGAGGGTTTTTGGTTCAAGCCCTTAACTTTGCATTTGAGTTTTTCACTCCTCAACCAATCTGAGTAAAAATTAACCAATGCAAGTGAGAAATTCTGTCCTATATTTAGGTTATTTACACAGGCTGCTGGATTTCAGAACTACTGCAATACTTAATAGATTTGAAGTGCAAAAGATTGTCTACTTTGTATGCTACTTCATATGTAATGAAATAAAGTGAGGTAGTTTTATTTAACTACTAAAAGTAGTCCAATAAAAACTCATGAAACAAGCTACACACACTAACCACTTCTGGTGTGAAGACCAATGAAGAATAAATATATATTAAGCAATATATTTTAAAAATAAATGTATATAAATATAGTTTAAGAATAAAAGATAGTATCTGATATGGTAACTGCACTGTACTCCCTGTTTCAAATTGAAGTGTCTAGATTGTGTAGAGATTGAGATCCTTTCCCTATGTGCACAAAGTACGTTCAGAGTACGTGATGATGCAGATACGTATGGCAGCTGAAACTGCATATGCAAACCGGTTGCTTGCAAATCTGTCTGTGGTGATAACATGAATCGTGTTTTTTTCAGGAGCAAATAAATGTAGTAATCAGATAGTTTGAGGGCAAGAGGCAGTTCAAAAAATAATAATAAACTAGCTCTATGCCAATATTTTAACAAGAGACTCCATTAAAAGTTTTCTGCTTCGTTTGATGGTGCACGTTTCACTGTTTGATTAATGTATACCTTGTGTCCTACCTTTTGCTTGCTGGTGTGGTTGGAATCAGATGTCAGTCTCCATTTCTAGTGCGATTGGTTGAGTCAAAAATGGCCTTGAAAATTCTGATGGAGAAGTGGAGTGGGTCTCAGGAAATGGAGAGAGGAATGGACTGCTGGGATTGCAGAACCTTGAGTCAGTGCAGCTGCAAGGGTGGATGCAATTCCTCTTTCCTTTCTGCATACCAACAACAGCTGGCAAGAGGCCATAATACTTAGTTGGAATATTGTCTGTTAAGGAATATAGCTGAAACTTTGGCTTTTGAGCAACATAGGTCCACCTCTCATACTGGGACTCTGTCCCTTACCTTGCAGGGGAACTGTGCTCCCATGAGGGCTGCTGGACAACCCAGTTCCCTCAGCACAGGAGGAACTGAGCAGCCATGAAACCTTGAAGAAAAAAATCCCAGTGTAGTGGGACCTGTGTATTTAGGATCTTTGAGAAGAGTTGATCTGTGGCAGTCCTCTCCTCCTTGGCTCTGCAAGGTGTGGGTATAGCCTCTTGGCTATATAAAGATGTTGATACATTCATAGGAGTTAGGAAGGTTGGCTTCTCTTGGTGTGCATACTCTTCACAGTACTGAAAGAAGAGTGGCGGTAAGTGGATACTTCTTGCCCTTGCTGTTAAAATAGTAGTACAGTGTCTATTGCATACCAGTGGCTTCTTCTAAAAGGGAGTTAGCTCAACTCTTATCCTTTTAGGGACAGGCAGAGTCCCCTGTCCCTAAGACATGTAAAACAAATACCTCAATTTGGTCATTATTATGACCTTAGCATGCAAGACAGAGAAAGTTAGAATTAAAAAAAAAAAAGTATTTGTTTAGACTATATCCCAGCTCTGCTGAAATAAGAGATCCTCTTTTGTATGAAGCAATACCCTTATTTATGGAATTAAAAGAAAAATACCCCAAACCCCACTCCCCAATTAACATTGCCTGATACAAAACTGGAAAGACTTCTAGGAAGTATTTAGCTATCTCTGTTTTTTGTAACATTATTTGTTTTGAGGCTCCATTCCCATGAACATCTGCTTAGCTTCACAAACAAAATGTGTTTTTGTTAGTAAGTTCTTATAGTTGTATAAAAGAACACTGGATTTTATTTTGCCTTCATATTAACCTAATGGACTGCTAAATTTCAGTATAGTACTGTTAATCATAGACAGAAATCATAACATAGCTTTATTCTTTGAATTGTGAACTTAATAATACTTAAACTGAAACTAGAAAATAGTTTGATTACCATTCAGTTTCACTGGGAAATATTTAATGGAAATGGTGTAGAAGTGAATAAGGGATGTTTTGATACCGCTTTTAATTTAAGGCATTGGATTTCAGCATAGAACTACATGTAAGCCCACAAAGGAATTTTAAATATGACAGTTTTTTAAATTTTAAAATTTTAAATTTTACAGTTGGGGTAAGTGTTTTGTATTGTCTTGGGGTTTTTGTTTGTTTGTTTTAATATGTAGCATGCCTGGAGCTACCTGATGGCATGTCTGTTTGAGATAAAAAATTAAGGTCAATTTAAACAGAAGAGTTTAAACTGCATGTATAAGAAGAAACAATAGATGAGAGGAATGTGAAGTTTCATGCTCCTGTATTGCTTAAATTTAGTCAGAAGCTAAATAGTCCATGGAGATGAGAAAAAAATGATACTTTCTTTACATTGCAATATTTCTTAATCGGAGAGGACGCTCTGGAAAATAGTTACAGAAGCTATTGTCATTTTAAAGACTTTCTAACATGTAATTTTAAACAGTGGCACCTCGTTTCCCTTGCAGTTTCTATGGGGGGAGAGCTAGGAAACCTGAAGTACAGAATTCCCCAACAGCCTAATCTCCTTTTAGATAAACCAATGAATCTTTAGAAGGCCGGTGGAAGCAAAGTAGGCAAAAACCATGGACAATGGTGTGTGGAACTGGGAGGAGTAAGTTGGGTGGGAAAGGCAAAGCAATATCTTTAATTTCATTTCAGAGGGTTTTGAGATTTGTAATTACTTCTCGGTGTTTTATTTTTAGGTGGTTACACCAAATCTTATTTACATATGCCTAACATCACTGAAGTAGCACAATTATTTGGTTGTTAAACTTGTAGAAAAATATAGAAACATAATTATCAGAGGATGTTACTGGTTTCCAAATTCAATATTTCATAAGCAGAAGTTTTGTTTTCATGTTCCTTTCTCCTCTAAAACACTTCTTACTTCTGGGCTGTGAAGCAGGAAACAATAGAGTATGTTGTAGCTCTGTGAAGGCCATTCAAAAAGAAAGAAATGCAACAAGCAATTTTTTTTCTTCTTCATGATGCTCTATGGTAGAGCTGTACTGTAACTAACTAGATATTAGTGACCTTGCTAAAGCAGGCTATGAAGTTCTGCTGCATCAATACAGATGAATGTATTGTCTACTGAATGTAATCTCAAGTTCTCAGTACTGGATCACAGAATAGTGACTTGTGTAGGTGTGATTCAAACTGTCCTTAGCAACTGAACAATACAAAATATGATCCCTTATATAACATGTAGTTGATGCAGGCTTATCTTAAAATATAAATCTAATATGATAGTTAGAATTATCAGTTATAACGCATGTACTTACATTATGAATTGCCTGATGTTTCTTTTACTTTTTTCTAAACATTTAGGACAATTTTATATGATAATGAACAGAAATTGTTTCTTCTGGTATATATATATATGTGAATTTTCTTTTACATAGGTATATAGAAAACTTATTTAATAATATCTTTTAGCAAACATTTATGCAACTGTTGTTGACATTCAAAGAGCATTAAAAGTTCCACCACAACTTATACATGGGGGCTTTTTTGGCAGAGTGCGAGAGCAATCCTGTACACCATTTCTACTGTAGTTTCTAATAGTACAGCTGTTGCAAATACTTTTTTCATTTTATACTGTTTATTTGATAGCATAATCAAAAGGTAATTTCCTCAAAAAACAAAATGCCAGTGTTTCTGATCACACTGGGAAAAAAAACTTTGGACTTAAGAATAGTAGGAATTAAAAATAATGGACGCAATTTTTTTGTGCAACAGGGAACAAGAGAGACGCTTAGCCATCATTGCAGTACTCTTGGTGATGCTTTAAGGAAGGAAAATGATTTTGCTCTCATCATTGACGGTAAATCTCTGAAGTATGCTTTGACATTTGGAGTGAGACAGTATTTCCTGGATTTAGCTTTGTCATGTAAAGCTGTTATTTGTTGCAGGTAAGGTTTTCCCTACAGTATTTTTACTGACATATAAAAATTAAGAAACATCTTTTATTTCAAAGAAAATACACATATCCATGTTGTCCAACTATGAAATATTAAAAAAAAAAAAAAAAACCCCAAACAACTTCAGTAACTGAAGTTATGAAATACAGTCATTCAAGCAAAATATTTCTGTAGAGCAGTCTGCAACAGTGTCCCTGTCAAACAAAGTCATTCAGATTGCATATACCCAGGAAAATAATTTGTTATCCATCAAGGGTAGTCTCAGCAAGATTGAGACACTGATTTTAACCTTAAATTGATACTACACTTAACTGCATGTTTTAGTACATCTGGATTCTTTCGTAGAGCTTCCTCCGCAGGCAAGATTTTAAAACTCTGCTTTTCTGTAAGCCGTGGATTACACTGTGGAAGAAGTGCACAAAAATGTTAAAGGTAGTACTCTGGGTGATTTTTATTTCCTGAAGCTGATGGAAACACCTTTTTTTTATTATTATTATTCCTGATTGTTTTGGGGTTCTGTCATGCAATCAGACCTTTCATCCTTTCCTGTAAACATCAGCTATTAAGAGGTGTAAGCTTACTGTAACAAGGGAACTTTTTCCAGATCAAAGACAATTAAATATCTGCTTTCTTTAAATATACACAATATGAAAGCAGTTTGGCTTGCCTTTTAATATTTCCAGGTTTATATTAAGGAAGGAATACATAGGACTGTATTAAGTGATAGCTTGTATGTTTTGGGGCCTTCTTGCATTTTTACGGCATTAAACACAAAAACTGCAAACATCTCCTAAGCAGTACATCACCTTTTCTACATTTGAATGATTGAATGAAAAGGGAAGTTGGATGCTTGGTAGCTAGATAAACAAGAACTGGTCCTGTCAATGTTTAAAGAACCTGGTTTGGGCCAAGTGATTAATCTGTCAAAAAGCAGAAGCAAGACTTTACAAGACCATTGGCAACATAGGTAGGATATCTGTATTAGAAATGCTATCAAACATTCCAGAACTGTGGAAATCGCTGTTATTTTCATCAGTGTCTGAGGTAGCTATTACAAGGATAGCCAGTTAATGTTCTCAGAGTATTTTTCACTAGGTTTGACCTTTGTAGTAGCATGGAAAAAGCTGTTTCCTATATTAAAACAGGAAAAGTTAACTCAGAAATAAGATATTCAAGCTCTTCTAGAGTCCCTATAGCTTGCTGTTTCTCAATATACCACAGTGGCACAAATTCAAGTTCTCACAATTAATGTAGTACTGAAATTTTTAGGATTGTCTGTGTATTCAAGTTACCTCTAATTCCCTATTTAAATGGGATGCTATGTCTGATAATAATTACTTTAGAAAAAGAATCTATGAAAAAGGAGGTCAGCCTGGATTTTGTACAAGAACAAAATAATTCTTAGAATTCGGCATCACTTCTTACCAAATTCAAATCGTTCAATAAATTATATAAGCTTACTGCCTGCTACTTCATTATTGCTGCTCCTGTTGTCTACCTGAAGGTAGAGACATGGTCTGTACAAATGTGAAAACTGTTGTAAATACACCTCAATAGATTGCCTGCTTTTGATTAATAAGATAAATAAATGGAAGGTTCTTGTGTTCAGGTAGAGAGTTGAATAATGTTCCATTAAGATAAAGTAGATTCATCTGAAAAATCAGTGTTCAAAATGGAGCTATTTTTCTGCCGTGCAAAAGGACAAGGAAAAGCAAATGTGGTTATAGTATCCAAATAAACACCTGGTTTGTAGTCTTTCCATCCTTTCTGTCAAGCGATATGTTATGCCACCAAGTGATTTTTTTTTTATTAATTTTTTTACAGTTTAGCTTTGTAGCCATGCTCCAGCATGAAATGCTCTGAATTTCAAACTAAAGTCTTACTGTCTTTTAAACTGGTGTCGTGGTTTAACCTCAGCCAGCAATTCAGCCCCACCCAGCCACTTGCTCACTCCCCCCGATTGGGATGGGGGAGAGAATCAGAAAGGTAAAAGTGAGAAAACTGGTGGGTTGAGATGAAGACAGTTTAATAGGTAAAGCAAAAGCCGCACACGCAAGTAAAGCAAAACAAGGAATTCATTCATCACTTCCCATCAGCAGGCAGGTGTTCAGCCATCTCCAGGAAAGCAGGGCTCCATCATGCGTAATGGTTACTTGGGAAGACAAACACCATCACTCCAAACATCCCCCCTTCCTTCTTCTTCCCCCAGCTCTATATGCTAAGCATGACGTCGTATGGTATGGAATATCCCTTTGGTCAGTTGGGGTCAGCTGTCCCAGCTGTGTCCCCTCCCAACTTCTTGTGCACCCCCAGCCTACTCCCTGGTGGAGTGGTGTGAGAAGCAGAAAAGGCCTTGACTGTGTGTAAGCACTGCTCAGCAGTAATGAAAACACCCTTCTGTTATAACCGCTGTTGTCAGCACAAATCCAAAACATAGCCCCGTGCTAGCTACTACAAAGAAAATGAACTCTATCCCTGCCAGAACCAGCACAACTGAGATGTTACACTGATATGCAGTTTATACTGCGTATAAACATTTTTCTAACGTCAGTAGTCTTTCTGACAGGCAAGTTGGAGCTTTGTGCTTGTTCTACCACTTCCGGTTTTGCTCAGTATAGTAAGTAACAAGCAGGAGACGCATGTAGAACTGCTCTTTCAAAACTGTATTTCTTTTTCTTCTCTTTCCTTGATTTGAAAATACATTTTACGCCATTTGAAGAGACAATATTGCCGTTTCTGTTGAACTATAGAACCATTGAAGGATATTCTGTACATATAGTGGTAGCATTTTTGTGATGAAACAACAAAAAGTGCAAAATGAAAGTTTCTGTTCTAGTAGCAATCTCTCTGCCATTTCTACATTTCCGTAATATACTTAGGTCAGCTGGTTTCAATACATGTCTAGGTATACGCTCTGACATATTTTGTGGTTGTTTAAAATTGGCTGCAGGTTTAAAACTAAAATATTTGCTTGTAACACTCACTGTTTTAGTATGTGCTTTTTTAATATCACATGCTTCGCAACAGTCAAAATTCTGTCAAAATATTTCTGTTAATGCTCCATCTTTAGTAACAAAAACTTCATTTCTTTGTTTGTGAGCTTGAAAATAAAAAGTTTTAAAATGGTAATTTTTAATTAAGGTAAATGACTTAAATATATGTCCTGACTAAATGAAAATGTAGGCCTTTTCTCCATTCATATAAAGGCAGTAAACATTTTAAGCACTCCTTCGTTTTAAAAGTACAAATTACATCCCTTTCTTTGAAGTTTTCAGACTTACTCACTTCAGAAGCATTTATTACCAATGGATTCTTCCTAAGACTAGCCATAGCACAGATGAAGCTGACAAATATTCAGGAGACATTTCACTTCAAAAGTCTGTATATCTTATTAATTCCAAGCAGTTGTTTGGCTTAAAGACTTTGACGAACTGAATTCCAACTCTATATTGGCTTCAGAGTAATGTGTGCAAGAAGAATGTTAAGTGGATTATTCTGTAGTAAAAATGTACAGCTAAGAATGAACAAAATGAACAAAAGATATTTTTATTGGTTTCACCATGAACTTGATGAACCAGGCAATGAGAATGAGTGCCATCTTCCAACCGCCCCTGTAACATGTCTGAAAGGGAAATAAGCCACTGTTCCTGGAAAGTTAAAAAGATGAAAAAGAAGTTCTCAGGTCACGAAACTTCTATAGAAGCTGGCTGTAGTGAGTCTTGCTACAATACTCATCAGCAGAGTTCAAATAAAACATGCAACAAAAGATCATAGAAATGCTTTTTGATATACGTGGACCATCGAATTTTTCTGAAGGGCTGTTGCCCAGAAGCTTTCATCCCAAGTTCACCACAAGGCTGTACGCCGCCCAAGTACCTTTTTCAAAAGTCTGATAGCATGTCTTGCACAGGCTGCTGAATAAAGTAATTAGATAGCTACCTTCAATCCGAAGGCTGTATTATTTTTCACTCCTTTATTTTTTGCTTTTGAAAAATCACACAATAAAATTTTATGCAACGTTTTTCTCTGATTTATTGCACTTAAAGCTTAAGAAATTTTACTTAATTGGCACAGAGTAGGGTTGAGGGGTTTTTTCAGCTGATAGAACATCACCCAAAGGTGAACCATGAGAAGGTGTCCTCTGCAAATAGAGAGGAGAATCAGAAGAGCTACAAGGATGTTACTGGAATCCAGTGGTAGTTGGAGTATTGTACATGAGCAAGGATGAGCGTAGATACTATGTACCCAGTTTCCCTTCACAACACTGTCTCAGTGTTAAGCACGATGGTCTAGGAAAGAGAGGCAACCACCGTTAGTGTACCCCTATGCTGGGAACTCAGTAATCTATCTAATGTTGAGGTTTAATCTAGTTGTTGAAATACGTTTTTTTTTTTCCTTCCCTTCCTATAACCTTATAGGGTAGGTAAAATGAAAAATATTGACATTTGCTAGAGAAAAATGGAGTATTTTTTCTTTTTTCTTTTCCAAATGAGCTATGGACCTTATACTATTCCTTCATATTTCTTCTATGACACTGAAATTGAATCAAGTATCAGTCTGTTCCATAGTAAAAAGAGTACCTTGGTGACATGGACTGAAGTCATAAACTGATACCATTGAAAGTACGGTGTATAGTGAAGTTGTGTGATTATGATGCATACATAAGATCTCATTCTACAAAAGACCAGGGGGATTGTAGTTGAAACAAATTATGTAACAAATTAATGAATTTATAGAAGAGATAGTGTGCTTTAATTTCACAAGCTGTGTATCTGGGTATAGAATATATGCAGGATGACAGATCATGATTTCTCCTTTTTTTTTCTTAATCATTTCTGTTTAAAACTTGATGTTTTAAAACAGTTCTCTCTACTATGCTTGGTAAGCTGACTTCCTCCACCAGGAATAGTTTGGGATCCTCTTTCAGCTTTTAAGTAGTCTGAGTTTTAGAAATGTTGTTTAAATTTAACTAGTAAGAATTGTGATTGTTACTGTAATTTACTGGTTTAGACAAAACTTAATTCTTCATGGATGTTATATGAATAAATACGTGTTTCAGGATGTAAAAAGCATGTCTAGAAAACCTTGGGTTTCCCCTACATCTATTTTTAAGCTACGTTGCAGAATAATCATGGTCAACCTTAGATGGCTAAAAACTTAAATAGCCTTTATTTTGGTGGGAAAGGCCTTTCCTTTCATAGGAAATTAATGTTGGTTTGGTGAAATTTGCATTTCTAAAGGACATATTCGTCAAAATTTCTCCAAGACTCTTTCTACTTTTGCCCTTATTAGTTAGCTTTTCTCAAATCTTTGTAACTTGGATTTGTTAATAAAGGAAATGGATAATGGATAATATCAGCAGTGTGATGTCAGAGATTTGGGGGTTTTTCTGAACTTTTTCACCACTTTGCTGCATTTACTTTTTCAGTGAAAATCAGTCACCAGCCTCAGCTGTCAATTCTTAAGAAAAAGTTTGGTTTCCTTTTTTAAGTTTATAGCTTGTCTGTCATGTGAACATGGATTTTCTTATGCTATCTTTCTGTTTGTGTTTGGTTTGTTTTGTTTTTTTTTTTAAAAAAAAAGGTTGTTTTCTCATTGCATTCTTACTCAGGCAGAATGGAAGGTAGCTGGCATGGCCATTAGCTTCAGCAATCGTGTAATTGCTTGTTGGTTGTGGTTTTGGTAGCTATGGTAGAGTTACAGATAGCTAGAAAAAGTGATGGCCAAGCATTGCCGTTAGTATCTGTGTGCTTAATGGAAAGAATATAATTGGTGCTTCAGTGTTCTTTAACTGTAAAAACTTTTATTATTGCCCTCATTAGCACTGGTTTTGTGATCTTAAAAATCAATCAGTATAAATAGGACAGTATTTTTTTGCCAAGTCACTGACCAGATTTGATAGAATTCTTTGAGCTATAATTCTTCAAACTAGAAAGGACTTGTCCATCAGGAATCTCATTAATAATATAACAGTATAATTTTCTCAAGTATCATGAGGCCTTCCAGTATTCACGTACTTCAGAGAACGGTGCCTTTGGGACCTCCAGCTTGCAGGATCTTTTGTGAGGAACTTTAGGACTGCACAGATGCCATAATACAGCCGAATTTTTGGTGTCTGGTGGTAACATTTCTTTTTGTTAGTGAGCTTGTGAGTGCCGTACAGCAGTCTTGGTTCAGGTGAGAACTGTACTTATGAACTACACAGGCCATGTTACTTGACAGTATCCCAGTGAGCAGCAATATACAGAGCATGTTTAGGAAGGAACATTATTTAGAAGTAATTGCTCTCTTGTGCTTTTTCTTTGCAAATTTGTTCCACAAAACTTGTATTCTTAATTTCTTGTATATTTCTGGTTTTATTCTATTTTTTGACCTGAAAGAGTTAAGTCAGGTTATGAACATCCCTATATAATCCTTAACCCTGAAATTTTGTCACTGCAGGGGGAATCTTTCACAGCCCAAATTGCAAAGTTTCGGAAGCTTATAGTATCAGAGGGGTTATTGCAATGAGCGTGCATTTAGAAAACTTGTAGGAAATGAATTATAAATACAGTTTTTACCCAAGTTTGTGGTGTTCTAGATGGAGGCATCTAGAATGAGTTTGTCTGGAAAGCTAGAAAGATAGATGAGGAAAAGACAGTTCTTCACCAGCTGCACATCCCCAGCTCCACAGCAGGAGTCATGCTTTGGTACCAGAATTGCTCTCTTTGTAGGAAGTAGTGAACAGTGGGGAGGGGAGACAGCCTCGCAGAGCTTTTTACATTTCTTCTTGTTTCTGTTTGTACCATGAAACGAGATGGGCAGGGTTTGATCCTTGACTCCAGTGCCAGGAAGCACAAGAGTGGATTGCCACACTGCTTAGGGTTTGCTCCTTTCCTTCCCCACCCTGCGAAACACACCAGTCCTAACACATAATTTCTGTGTATTATTTTCAGTTACGATATCTCAAATACTACAAGGACTGAATTTCAGCATACAGAGCAGAACTTTTACAACATAAAATAGAAGCTACACGTGTGACACATACAATGGTAGATGGAGCCAAAACTGATATAGTTTCATCAATAGAGCTTTTGAGAGTCATCCCTGGACATCCCCTTAACTGGCGACAGGCGTTTTCTTAATGACATAAATGGAGCAGTCCTGAAAAGAACAAGGGAGAAGTTACCAGCAGTTAAACAAAATGGAGGATCAAGAGTCAATGTTCAAAGTTGCTTCCTCTAATTTAGCAGTGTAGGCTATGTTAACATAGTGGCGGTCCACTCTGTTTGTTCCTGTTTGTTTCGACATCTGTGTGTTAAATATCTTGCTGTTTGTTTATAAAATACATATTTAAACAGAGAAGAAAATAAAAAGTATAACAACAAAATATGCCAAAATCTGCAATTTTTGTAAGTTAATACTGGTAGTGGCAGTGTTTGGGGTTTCTTCCATTACTCTGTTTTAGGGGCCTATTGCTGTTTGACCTGTGTCTCTCCAGTCCTATTAACATCTTGTTTCAACAAATCCAAGGTTTCTATGAATTTCACTGGGAATGTGCTTTTAGCATATAGCCTAAAGGGCAATAACAAGACCATGTCACTGACCAGGATGTTAGTTGGCCTGTTTTTATTACCTTTTCACAGAATACAAAGTATCTTTTGAAAGTACATTCATTTGAAACTCCTGTATTAAACCTTTTTCTTACTGTTACCTCTTAGGGTATCACCACTTCAAAAATCCGAAGTTGTAGAAATGGTTAAAAAACAAGTTAAGGTAGTAACTCTAGCAATTGGTGATGGAGCAAATGACGTTAGTATGATACAAACAGCACATGTTGGTGTTGGTATTAGTGGGAATGAAGGTCTACAGGCTGCTAATTCTTCAGACTACTCAATTGCTCAGGTAAGTCATTACGCTGTAAAATACTACAGTGAAGTAGTTTAATATCAGATTAATATTGGTGTATGCATGTTCTGATTGTATGTTTGTTCATTTTTCATTTTTTGCAGTTCAAGTATTTGAAGAACTTGTTGTTGGTTCATGGAGCCTGGAATTATAACAGAGTAGCTAAATGCATCTTGTATTGTTTCTACAAGAATATAGTCCTTTATATTATTGAGGTAATTTTACAGTACAGTAAATATTACTTCTTGAAAGTAGAAACTTTATTATTTTGAGTTTTTGGTTATTATATATGATTTTAAAGAAGCATTTAAACTCTCAGTAAACACTTACTAGTACTGAATCTTGCTTTTTAATAAACTGATTAATATTAGTGATTTTTTTTTAATTTAAAAGACCCAATTGTCTTAAAAATACATGCTAAATATTAGTACTGAATGTTTGTGTTGCATAATACTGCTAACTTATTAAAATTCTGCATGTATAACATCATTACAGTATTTAAGGAATACAGTTACAAGTAGCCTTAAATTTATCAAGAGATGTATGTGCTTAAGCTCTTTGAGCTGGTGTCAGTAACTATCCGGTTTGCAATCTGAAGCCCTTTTTCAAGGAGACTGTTGAACTGCAGGACTGTTGCTGTTCAAGAACAGTACTTAAGGTTTTTACATATATGTTTAGTTACACTATTGCATACCTTTCCCTTGTTGATGGGGTAACCATGCCTCCTCTAGTTCATGAACAGGGATACTTTCCTGAAAGTAGCTGACCTAGTTTTCTCACCTGGGATTTTAAGGAGACTGGAGTCTCGTGAAAAATACAGTAGTATGAGAGGACTGTCGTATAATAAATCTATGTTTATTGGTAGGTATGGTTAAGACAGCATGTATAGCTATAGTTTTCATGACCTTCATGACCACATGGCAACCTTAAAATTTTGAACGTAGTTTTAAATGGATTTTAACATTTCCCCCCCCCCTTTATTTACTGTTCCTCTTTTTCTTTCAACAGCTGCTTGCTTTCTTATAACCAAATATGTATCTAGTAACTATGTTTATAATTGATTCAAACTTTATATTCACAATGATACTTTGGGTTAAAAATGTGGAAAAAAAAAAAACCTTAATTCGTTGCAAAGCTTGATCACAAAATAAGTTTTAGAGGTCAGTCTTCTGTATTTTTACGTTAATGGGGTTAAACAGTTATTCTTAAAACTTTCTTAGTTTTTTTTAATATATTTTCAAATTAATTTCTTAAACTTATGCAGTAGGTATCCGGTTTTTACTGAAAGAAAATGACTTATTTCTGTTAGACGTGATGCAAACATTAAGTTAATATTTCTGATTTTGATGTTTGTGTATGAGATCTTACACTGTTGCAATATTGGAAAATACTTTAAACATCTTTTTACGTACAAGTGTTGTAGCCAAAAAGCGTGCATTTTTCTTCACATATTTTTTACATTTTCTAAATTTTACTTTTTTTCCTCTTTATTGTGTTATTAACATAAATAGATTTCAATCTAGTAGCAAGCTTATAGCCTGTTTAGAAAAACGTAAAGTAGGAAGCCATAGAAAAAGCAAATCCATTAAAGATCCTTTTTTGCTTTAGAAGTGATGGCAGACTTTAGATCTTGCATTTCAAAAGCTGAATATCTGATTAAATGATCAGACTTCCAGAATTACTGATTAGCAATAGCTCTTGAAGTATTTGAAAAAACAGTATTAATGTATACTTTGTGTTTATAGAAAACATACAAAGTTGGGCTATAGAACATACTACCTTATTTTTCTTAATTTTCTGTCATTGTCACCTGCAAACACATTGTAAATTCATAACTTAAATCAGATATAAATATCCCACTGTTTGTATTCTTTGTGAAAGTAAGTTAAATGCAAGGTACAGAGATCATAGTCTAAAAATACAAAAGACTAGAAGAGGTAGTCTCTGTCTCCTGAGCAGATGGAAGGGCAGAGAGATCATTTTTATATGGATTATGACCCTTTATATATAATGCGTACAAGCATTTTACCACATACGCCTTCTCTGGAAGACAAGATGACTTCTACTTGAATTCGTGTAGACCTAATGTTTGTCAGCTCAGAAAACTTTCACAGGTGTTAATAGCTCATGTCAATACTGTGAGTGAATGGGCAGAAATTCATCACTGAATGTCTCTAGAAAGGACAACTGCCAGTCTTGAATCTCTCTTTTCAGTTTTTTGTACAGATCAGGCGTGGGAGCAGAGAGTTCAATGAGTGTTTGTAAGCTGCTGCTTAATATGCAGAAATGCTACATCAGGAAAACGTTTGTAAAGCTTTTGTGGCCACACCTCCTCTGTCTTGGAGTGTAGAAGATAATACTATGAAAGGCATGTCTGGAAGTTGCTTTAAACAAGTTTCCTTTTATTAGCTGACAATAAATAAAGTACCTTTACTTAATTGAGGCATAATGTATTTTTAAATGTCTGCTCAGTACTGATCAAACAAGTAATGCAATAGATTCCATTTAATCTAAAATACAGCCTTTTTCCTAGACACTTGTGGGGTGATACGAAATAAATGCCATTGGTTTCTTGGTTCAGAAAATGGTAAAGGTCTAGAGTAACAGTCCTGCACCATGATTAGTGTTTATCGACATTTAAACTCCTATTCATAAGAAACTATCAGTGGTCTGCAATAACTTTTTCTACTCTGTGTCTTGACGCAATAGATATTTAAACATGGGCCTCATCTCTTGTATGGGACTAGTCCCAGTAACTTTGGAGGCTGAAGTATCGTTCTAAATTGCAAGTGAAAACTTTGAATTTCTAATAGACTGCTAATGTGCGTTATTAAACCTGTTCCGAGCCTCACACTTACACACACATATAGCATAAGCCTATGCAGAGTCTCATATTTATTTTGAAGGGGCTGTCATGACCTTATAATGATGGTTGGGATTGAGATTGACCTAGTGGTTGAGAACTCCTTTGTGGGTTGGGTTTGGTTTTATGATTACCATTACTGCATATACTCTTTTGTTAAACTACTCATTTTGTGAAGTTATGCAAATCTCCCTTCAACATTGGAGGGGCAAAATTTTCCTATTTGTTTTGTTTGTTCTGCTAGCTAGTAATAGCTAGTAATAACTAGTAATAACATAATTGTTTTATGTTAAATAAAAAAGGTTTACAATTTAAAAAAGAATAATGATTTTTGAAGATCTGCATAGGTCATTCGTGTTTCATGTAGGGGAAGATTCAAACAAAAGAGTAAAAGACCAGGACACAAACAGAAGAAACAGATGCGTGGAGTTCACATTTAAAGTTCACTCACAGATTCTTAAACATGGCCATTTGTAATGATTTAAGTGATACTACGTAAACAATTCAATTATACTAAGTAATTAGAGCTGTAACAGCCTCTTTTTAGTTCCATAAACTTTGGATGATGATGATCTTCCCCGCGCCCCGCCTCCCTCCCCGTCCCCCCCTACGCCCTTTTCATCCCACTGCTGAGTTCCACACTTTCTGCTGCTCGTGTCTATAACTGACGTTTACCATTTTGTTCGCAGTTTCCTTTGCCTGACACATCACATGAATACCTGTGGTCATACTGAGACCTATATCATGCATAATGCCAAACATGAACAGGCTTGCTGTGTATACTCACGCTGCTTCTGAGCTGTAGAGTTTAGGTCCCGTTTTTCAGTATGCTATGGCATACTTAATGTATGCAAACTGCACCGAGTTCAGTTTAAAACACGAACAGCAGAAAGTGATTGTGCTCATGCCCGCTTTTTTGTGTTATATGGTTTGAAAACTTAGAAATACAGGGATCTGCATTGAGGCCCATCTCATTTTAGATGGGCTATGAACCTAAATCTTTCATTTTCAATTGAAATTGTGTAGCAGTTGAACTATAAAATCGTCTGAATTGTCACTTCTCCCTCACTTACATAGTCTAAATTGCTTCTCAAGGACACCTATCTCCTGTCCTTCTGTATAGGAGTGCTGGATCAGTAATTTGAGCTGTTAGAGTAGGACCTACCCCCTAGGAGAGGTGTGCTCCTAAATTAGTATCATGTACAACATGTCCTAAAAACTTATTTTGCAGGTACACCTGCCTTCATTGTCCATCATAATCAGAATGAAACACACTTGTCCATGAATAAATTTCCCAATGTGAAGCAAAAAACTGTGTGTTTCTTGTCACTGTCACCATTAATACTGTAGTAAGCTCCATAGAGGTTCTTTCATGTATGGTTAAGAGTGTAATTTTCTAAGGTCCAGGGTGCAGAAGTTAGGGTAAATGGGTAACGTACTTTCTTCCCCTCTTACAGTTTGAGCTGAGGGCTGTATTTATCCTTGCTGCTTCCCCCACACCACCCTCCCTCCCCAGATCTGCTAATTATTGTTGAGCCACAGGTGTTACTAATGTGAACATTCAAATGTTACCTTGTAAACAGTAGAAAATCCATTTTTCTGCTTAGATATTAAAGATGCTCTGTCTCTTAAAGCAGTATATCTGGTATTCCACTAAATAGTAGTGTTTCTACTACAGAGGGCATTGTTTTTAGCCACATTAAAAGGTTTCTCTTCCCAGCCTTTTTTTTTTTTTTTTTTTTTGATAGATTCAACAAGAACTTTGAATGCAGGGGTGCTACCAAATTTCATTTCTTCTGGGCTTGCATCTACAGTTCTGTCCAAGTTTTATTCCAGTTCCTTATTACACTAAAACTTAACTGAAATGCCTGTAACTTGCATGCTTTCTTTGGAAAAAAGTAAATGCTAAGATTTCAGGAAGTTATAATAGTAACTTAAAGGATTTATTTACAATTCTACAGTAAAACTGTAGTTTTCAGAGCTTAAATAGCTTGAAAATTTTAACTTAAATTCTGTACAAAATAAAACTGAAAGCATCAGGGTTTTTAAGGAATAAAATGATGCATAGCATTTCTGAGTAGTGGCTTCATATGACATTCATTGTAAATTGAAATTTTATCATAAATTCTTGCATTTGTTCAAAACAGTCACTCCAAAACATTTTCAAGTGTTGCTTAGCATCAATTACCTTTCATAGAAGTGAATATGTGGAATAGATTCAGTGCATGTATTTAGGCCATTCTTTAAAGTTTTATAACATTTTGACTGTTAGATTACAATAGAAAGTTAACTTTCTTTGCATATACTCCTTGGTTAAGAAGGGTCAAGTATATGTCTACTTGCGGTCCGTTTTATTTTCTTCCTCGAGAGTCATACTTTTGTTAAACTCTGTCTGAAATTACCAGCAATGAGATGTACGCACATATATAAATATGTCTACATATTGTAAATATACATGTGCCCAACTACTGAGTCACATATTTTCTATTAAAACGGTCCTTTTCCACCACCCTAAACCCTTTCAAATTAAAAATTCTAAAATGTACTCCAGTATTTGATACAAACAAGAAAAAAAATTAAGGGGTCGATCACATAATGATATCTGTCCTTCACTTCTCTCTCAAGAGCTGTCCTCCTAGCCATCTTCCTAGGTTTGTATTTCCTAGAATGTAGGAACTATGTATAATGAAAAGGTTGAAAAAAGAGAAGGCAGTTGAGGAGCACAACTTGTATCCAACAGTGGTGATGAGGTTCTGGATTAGGTTCACACATTTAGCTTAGTTGTAAAACATCCAAAAATTGTGCTGATGTTGAATGCGTAATTAATTGTTCAGTAATGAACAACTGATTATGGACTCATCTCGCTCCCTCATACTCAACTACTGAGAAACTGCTGCTAATAAATGCCTTCTAAATTCATCACAGTTAAATCACAATTCCTATTTCAAAAGTCAAAAATCAAAATACACAAGAGCTTATAAAAATCTCATTTAACTGACGTAAAGTAATTCCATTGTCTTTTCAGTGAATAGACTGAAAGGTTAGAAAATAGAGTGCTTGTTACTGTTAAGTCAATCAAAGTAAAGAAATTTAGCATTATAAGACTTAAGAAAATTCAGTGTATTTTATATCTCTATATTGCAGCCTCTAACATTCATGGTTTTGTACGTAATCTTGTTCCAATAATTGGCCACCAAAAAAAATCTATTTACTTTTCATTTATTGGTTGAACAAATAGCAATTTTAGCTGCATTTTAACTCCCATTTTTAGTGTTAATAGTTGCTAATTTCAAGGGGGTTTCCATCTCAAAGTATTCACAAACATGTTGAAACATTCCACAACATGATAAAAGACTGAGTTGTTCACAGAATCTGGTCACCTGGAGGCCAGCCTGGGTACATATTGGTAAACATACATATTGATTGTAGCAATTCATGCTTCCATAATAAAGTCAAATGAAATGTGGCCTGTAGCAAAATCTCTGCAAAGCAGCATCTAAACATTCACTTGGAAAACATGAGTCTTAAATTGAGTAGAATGTTGTTTAGATGATCCTATCTTCTGTCACCTTATAGCTTATGTTTGTCATAGGCAGTATAGTTTCAGTGTAGCTTGTTAATAAAGATTCATCAGACATGCTTTTTCTCCACTTTGTCCTTGAACTAATATAAGGGTGAAGTAAGAAATAGAAGAAAACAGTCATGCTGCATGCTATACTGAAAAACATTAAGAAAATGTGTCATCATGCCTTTCAAATTATTATTTTTTTTTTAACCTTTTAGCAAAAAGCAATAACACTTGTGCGATGAAAGAGATATCCAGCTGCGCCTCTAAAATACTCTGTAGTTGAGTTAGTGCTTGTTCACTAAGTAATTGTAGTTGATTTAGTGCTCTGGTAAAGCCTCATCCTCTCATGAGTTTCATGTATGAGGAAGGAATATTGGTACAATTTTCAGTTCTAAACTACAGCTTACTGTAGTAAGCTATTAGTGAGGAACCTAACTAATTCTAATGATTGCTAATGATTAGAAGAAGATGACTGCTTCTAATCTGTAGGTGTTTCCTGTGCTATTTTTTTCCCTGATATTTCTCAGAATATTTATTTCATTAAGAATTAAGTACAGTACAAATGCAGTGAGCTAAATCACTCTTAAATACTTAACAAACATGAAATTCCTTCTGAAAATGGTTACCTCCTTGAAATGTTTTCATATTTAGATGGAGTTGCTCACATATTTGACTAGATTGCCCATTATCTGTTCTGAACACAAGTTTGGTTTCGTTTTTTTTTTTATTTATATGTTTAAGCCATAACATCCTCAACTGTGTTGTAAATGTGTTCCAGGGATACCCCTTTTTGTGAAGCTGAGAAGAAAATCTATTAATCACACCTTGCAGGACATTTGAGTAATATAGGGTTCTCCTCTTTTTCAGATTTGGTTTGCTTTTGTCAATGGCTTTTCTGGACAAATTCTTTTTGAAAGATGGTGTATAGGCCTCTACAATGTGGTAAGATGATTTGCGTGTTTTCAGTTATTTTCAATTGTAATCATGAAAGTTTCTTGAGTAAGCAATCTTTAAGCAAATCCTCACCTCGAAAGTTTTGCAATATGTTTTTTTGTTGTGTTTTTTTTTTTTAATCTATCAGATGTTTACAGCAATGCCTCCACTAACTCTTGGAATATTTGAGAGATCCTGTAGAAAAGAAAACATGCTGAAATATCCAGAGTTATACAAGACTTCCCAAAATGCACTGGACTTCAATACTAAGGTAGCTTAAAAAAATCAAATATAATTAAAGCAGAAATTAAGAGGAATTCAGTAGAGTTATCCCTTTTGTTCTATGCTGCTCATAGTTAAAAACGGAAGGGATTTTTATTACTAGTATTTCCAGTTGTCCACTTGTCTGTGAATGGTGCAAATGCTATTTATCCATTTTTAGCAAGTATGGAAATGGAAAGCAAGCATTGTATTCTTTTCAGCCCTGATTTTTTTTTTTTCTCTGCTGGTAATAAAGCTGTCTTCTATGGGCAGAAGCGATTAGACCTCTCTGTCGCTAGGCTGTATGTATTTGTACTGTTATATAGAAATGGATTACTGAAGCCTGTGGAGAAGTTTTGGAGAGGACAATAAGAACTGTCATTAGATTTGTAGAGGGGAGGGACTTGGTACTATTCTTTGTCAATTTGGAGTTGTGATTTTATGGTTTAATTTTGAGTTTTGGGAAAAAAATAGTTGGATACAGTTAAGAATGTGTCAGGATGGATCAAAAGGAATCTGAGGCTGCTTTTGGTGGGAAATGGGTGACATTCATCTTGGAGAGACTAGCACAAGAAGTAGTAAAAAAATGCAGGACTCTTTAATAAATAAAATATAAACAATTTCTACAGATTTGTCCATAAATAATCTCTTAAAAAAACTAAAGGAAACTTTTTCCTGAATCTGCAATTTCATGAATGCATGATCTTTGTAAGAGTTCCTTCTGATTTTATTTGATTTTTCTAAATATAATTGGGACATTTCAAGTAATGTAATTGTATGTTGAACTTGGGGACACTTTCAATCTGTCATTGAATTAACAATGCCTACATGTGCTGGTCTGTAGTAGATGTGCAGAGCTGATACAGCATACTTAGCTCTCATATCTGTGCCACTTGTGCTGTAAAACTGGAGTACCCCTATCTATATAGAATTATTTGTCTAAACTATCTCTGTTTACTGAAGCATATGAGATTTCTCTCCTCCTTCCTCACTTCATCCCTTCACCCACAAAAACAAACCTGAAAGTTGTTAAGGAAACTTGGGAAAATAATTTCTTGTGTTACTTCAAATGCTTTACAGATATCAGATTTTTCATTATATATATGTCCATTAATGTCCAGACCCTTTGGACATTTATATGTCCAGACAATTATATGTCCAGACCCTTTTGTGTTGTGATAGTTTCAATAAATAATGTAAGTCATGAGTTACAATTGTTGGATTTTTCTGTTTTTAAATAAGTCTATAACATTTTTAATATTACACAGATGTATTGTTGACTTTACTGGAAATTCAGTGGCTATTCCCATACAACACTGGCTATGAGTAAAAGTCTACAAACTTCCTAACTACAAAATTCCCACCTATATAAGTTGAATAGTTGATGTTAAAGATTTAGAAACATTACTGCCTTGAATGTTAAGGCAGATGTTTGTTATGGTAAAAGGGATCAAAGGTTATGAGGTCATGACGGAGGTTAAAGGATTAGCATGTGACAATAAGAATTGGTCAAGAAAATGGAAAAGTAGAACTAATTTTTCTTGCATCCACCTGTGCTTTCTGTCAAATAAAAACTTCTGGTAATGACATAGCAAGAAGTAGAGACAAAGGTTAATGAATAGCACAAGTTCAAATGCGCAAAGTATTGGAGTGTAAATTGGATCATACAACCTGGTGTAGTTGTATAATCTAACAAAAGACTTTGAGACATTGTGGAAAATGTTGCGAGGCAGGCAACTTAATTTCAGTTGTTTGAACACCTCAACGCTTGTAATACACATCGGTTAGTTACAGTAAAGGCTATGATTGTCAAAAACATTGTTCATTAAAAAACAGGATTGCTATCCTGAAGGAAGTGGGTTACATATTTTTTATTAAGTCTTTTTATGTCTTTGTACCATATATTAGGGAAAGCATCAGTAGGTTGTTTATCCTTAAACTTAATACAGTTCTTTTCAGAAGGTGTATTTTACAAATGAAAATAAGTGTGAAAGTAAAAATTGAACTATTTAGGAAATACATTAAAGGAAGTGTAATATGATGAAGCTGTGCACTTCAAGAATGGGGCATGTAAGGAGAAATCTAAGGAAGATACTTTTATTTGTCCTTTTTTAATTCCTTTGTATGTGGAAATACGTAAGTAGGTATATGTAAAACTCAGGTTTTGATTGTTCTACTATCCAAATTTCTTATTACACAAAATGTAAATTGTAAAAGCTAGAGTCCTTTTTAGTTCCCTACTTAGAATGTAGCAATTGTTCCAGTTGTCTGGTTTAGTTTAATTTTTCTGATGATATTCTCATATGTATGTATTTTAATTTGCCTTCTGATTTGAAATTAAAAGGAGGGGATAATGCACACTTTTTTCCAAAACATAAAAATAAACAAATGACCCATGAAGAGCTAAGAGGCAGAAAGTGCCTGTCAGTTATATTATTTCACAGTGGTGGCCTGAAAGAAACACATTTTGTGAATCTAACACACAGATAAAAAGAAAGGTCAGGGTTCACAGAGCTAGGTTATTGCAAGTGGTTCTCATGGATTTTCTGTTTTCCCTTAGGTTTTCTGGGTTCATTGTTTAAATGGCCTCTTCCACTCATTCATTCTGTTTTGGTTTCCACTAAAAGCCCTCCAGCATGGTAAGTATTATGAAAAATAAAAATATAATTGTTGAAAGGTACGAAATATCTAAATACCTTCTTTTTTCTTAGGAAAATTTAGAAATACTGACAGTTTTCTGTGATTAAATTTCAAGATACTGTTTCTAGAACTAGAGCAGATGCAGTATCTTTAAAATGTTTTATTTAAAATCTGTTTAAAAGTAGGAGCAGTATTGTGTATGTATGCATAAAACTGTATAAGTAGGTTTTAAGTAAACTGAAACAAGATGGAGAAAAAGAGCTTGCTATTTAATTATGCTATTATTTTATATAATACACTACCATGGTAAGTACCTACAAGATCCTAAATCACTACTGTCCATTGCATTGTCTCTTATATTTTGTAAGCTTTTATGGCTGATGTGTATACCTTCTCTCCTGTTACTTCAGGGGCATACTAACCCATTACTTTACATCTATATGAGTAGGCTTGTGACAGAGGAAACTGGGACATCTTGGACAGCTCAGTCCTGCCATTCTTCTAGTTCAACTGTTGTATATGCACCTTAGTTGCCAAAGGAAATGGGACAGTTGGGAGGAAAGCTGTATTAATTAGAGGAAACTTGAAAGCATTGCTTCCAGTTCGTGGGAATGTTTGTGTGTATGGGAGCTCTCATAGCGGTGGGTTTTGTTTTGCTTCCACCTTGGGGGCAGGGGCGGGGAGAAGTGTGTACCCTGCAGCTTTTCTATAAAATTAGTAGCCTTCTCAGTTTCCCTGATGCAGCCAGGCGGTCTGCCCTGACGTAGGGGATGGAAATAATCTCATGGACATTTTGGAACTGTTGAGACTAGATAGTGAGACAGTCACAGCTGCTTGTGCCTAAAAAGATTAAGGGGAAAACTTCTTGCAGAGTATTTTATGCTCAGTGACTTCTGATGAGAGAAGGAAAGTAGGTAGTGGCCTGTTTTCTCTAAAAGGCCACTGGATGTGAGTTCAGTGGCAGCAGTTTGCATTGGAGGGGTTTCGACAGCCCTGGAGGAAAGAGGTCCCAAAATGTCAATGCATATTCTAAATCCACAACCTCGAATCCAAACGAAAATCCCCATTCAAAGCTGTAGCCAGTCCTTATGAGAGACTTATGCGTTACATGATGGAGAAATGTTTAATGAGTATATGTGGTGAAGCAGAATAGAGTTCATGTGTGAATGGCTGAGATACTCTCACAAGCACTTGTAAGAGCGCTGTAGCGTAGGCCTCTTCGGCTCACAGCCCCTGGGCTAGAACTGACCTGCGGGCAAGTGGTCTCTACAAATCTGAACAAATTGCCTTCTGTCTTCCTCTTTCATTCCTAGAGAAAGGCCAGCTGAGTAAGGGGAGCAGAATTGAGACCTGGGGATTGTGTATGTGGTGGGTGGTATAACCAGTACCTGCCATGGGTCTGGCTGGTGCACAGAGTTCTGCATGAAGGGGAAATGAGTGCAGGATGGGAGCTACTGTTAATTAAATCTCTGATGGCTGTGTGTGTAAAGAGGAAAGGGAGATAATGCTATTAGTTTCCTAGAGAGGAGGTGACGAGTGCCAGAGAAAGGAACTTCTGAGAACAGGTCTCAGCCTCCATCTTCTCTTAGCAAAGGAGAGGCACAGGAGGATCCTCAGACATGAAAGGAGGAATGGGAAGAATGGGGGATAGCTCAGCTTAGTGCATAAGAGTGCTGAGTCCCAGCACTCTGATGGGAACAGATTAGCTGCCTGCCTGTTCCTCTGTTTTATCCTCATTATGCTCTTTACTGCTAGGTATATATTGTAAAGCAGCGGAGTGCATGTTTGAGCAGGTATTTATTGGAACATTGAAAATCAAATCTTGAAGATCATGAAAATCTCTGAGCTCACAGTCTATCCTTTTCTTTGAGCGTTTTCTCCTGTTTACCTTTTAGTCTCACTTGTCCACTTCTTTCTTGTAAGTAGAAAATTTCAAACCCCACGCATTGTAGTAGAATCTACCAAGAAATATGCAATCAAAGAATATGCATGGATTTGTAAGACCTGTTTGTCAGAATTTGCTCCATGGGACCTAACCATTGTACAGTACACAAAACTAGAGTCTTTGCACTCCATGTACTGTCATGTGGATATGAAAAGCGTCAAGGACATAAATCTTCACAGAAGCTTCTTTTGATGCAGCTTTGTCAACATAACAGTAAATGGCAAAAGCCAAACAAATGTACAAGTAAATCCACTAACTGCTCCCTCTTTTGTATAACCTTTAAAATGAGCTTTGTTTTCAGGCTTCCAGAGCTTTTGCTGTCCTTTGTGGTGTGCTAGTCTGTCCAGGGAGAAAGTTAAATCAGGGAAGTGCCAGGAATGCAACCAGTATCACTAGAGCTAAGGAGGCATCCACTGTGAGCTTCTCATCTTGGAATGGGAGAGGGCTACGTTAAGGAAGACTATTTGCAAGCATTTTTGTTCTAATTTTTTGTGTGAACTTTCACCTGCTGTCTCTTCCAGAATATTGATAAATAGAACTTTTTTTTTCTGTGATAAACTGGCCTCACAGGTCCTGAAAAGCTTTTAGAAAGGAGCACTCTTCATCTGCAACTAAAATGAATTTCATTTCAAGCATGTGTAAAGGTGATATGAAGGCTGGAAAAACACTCAACACAAATATGAAAACATACTTAATTAGCAGCATTTAATATACTGTATGCTAGCTGAGGATAGTGGAAAAATAAGTGTTTTCAACTACAGACCATTTTTATCAACTTGTCACCTTCCTCTGGCCAGCCCAATCAGAAGAGTTTTAAACCCACCCCCACCCCCAAAAAAAAACCCCAAACACCTGTATTCTTCTCTTTCCCCAAAGACAGCTTTTTAAAAACATCCTTCCTTATGCTCTCTCAGCATTAGTGGGTTTTATTTTTCTTTTTTTTTTGTCTTGTACTTTTATGCTTCTTTACTATGTGCACAGTATTTTGTTATCTCTTTATATGATGGCAGTGAAAAGCAATATCCCAGTGAGTAGAACCTCTACAGCAGAGTAAGTGTTCTGGTTTAGTTGCAGTATATGAACAATCCCGAGTGCTAAAAGCATTTCTAAACTGAACACGTAAAAATTTAGCAAGCTCAGTACTTCTAATAGAGAATGAGGAATTCCCTCTAGATAGTTCAGTTGTATGTTGTCCCATGTCTGCCAAGAACTTTCACAGAACTGGGATCAGAAAAGCCCGTGCTCTAGCAATAGTCATAAAGTAAGTTCTGTTAAATAAGCATAAATGCACTGCTTCAGCATTCTGAATTTAAGAACCACAGTAGATGTGATTTTTATGCAAACACATCTTTTTAGGGCACTGACTCTTTGCATAAATGCTGTGTGTATCCATATGTGCAAAACAGATCGACAGATTTGAGTTGGGTAAATTTTGAAAATGTTACAAGTAACAAGCATCTCAAGAATTAAAATCGAGTATATTATATTTTTACTTAAACTGAATCTCAGAAATATGGATAAGAGCAAAGATAAGTTTCTATACCAAAAATATCCAGAATCAGTGAAAATCTGACTCTCTAAGCTTTCTGTTTACTTATATGTTACAGTCAGTGTACACTATAGCTATTATATTTCATATTTTTCTGAAGGTAAGATACGGTTATCTGTGATCTTAAAAGTCACTCTAATTGAATTATTACTGAATACAATATTACTTATATTGGTATACGATGTTACAAAAAGCTCCTGTTTCTAGCATAATTTCTGAAGTCACTGAAAGTTTTAAAGGACTAAAAATTATAAAAGTCACAAATCTCTACTGTTCAATACAGTTCAAGGTGAAATCTGCTGTTAGTACCCTGTGGGAAGTGCTACCATCTCTTTTGTACCAAAAATAAGATTTTATATATATAGTGCTGTTGTGGATGTTTAAATGTTTTATTTTTATCAATATTTCCTTCTTCAGGTACCGTATTCGGCAATGGTAAAACTTCAGATTACCTGCTCCTGGGGAACACTGTATACACTGTAAGTCTTCCTACAGCTATCTGGTGCTCTATTAGCTGACTATCTATATTGGCTCTATCTTTAACTCTTAAAGAGATGTGGTTTTATTATTATTTATAATTCTCTGCATAGAAGACTTGATTCATTGTAGTGCCTTAAGAATAAGAAATGACATTTGAATGACTCTTCGAGAAGGTTTGAAGTGCATTTTGCATTCTAATTCCAGTTTCTAAAACAAAGCAGTTTCATAAAGATCCAGAAGATACATCTGTCCTTTACTGGAAACTGTCTATTTTTTAAATAATGGGAACTGTAATTCCCTAATTAGCATGCTTATTAATTTAAGGTAAGTTTCGGCATTGGAGAAATCCCAGGTTATTGGATATGGAACTGGTTTGTGGACTTGTGAATATACAATTCTGTTCTCCCTCTCTTAATTTATCATGGGGCCTTGAAAGAGAGATAGAGCCACATGGAACCAAGATTTGTGGGATGCCTCTTTGGGGACAACCAAACTGCCAGAATTACACCTGACAGTAATCTTCCGTTACTCTCATAGATATTAGTCATTATTGGGTTTTTTCTTTTAATCTTTGTCTCCTGGAATAAATTAATGAAGCTAAATACCTGTTTTTCACTTGCTGGGTATCAATGTTACCCAATAGATGAGGGTTTTCCAAGATCTCTCTTAGAAGCAAAATTAGACTTGTGCTTACTCTCCTCTGTTCCTCAACATTAAGAGGTTAATTAATTTTTCAACTTCTGTTGTTGGCAGATCCAAAAAAGAAATTAATTCTTCCATGAAGATAAGGGGGCCATAATACAAATACAAATTCACATCAAAATCGATTTCCTTAAGGAATAGGGAATATCATAACTGAAATAAAAGGAAAGTATTCTAGAATACGTTGTAGTCCTTTGAGGTGTAGCTACTGTCAACATCTCCTATGTATGAGAGGACATTTTGAATAGTGTTTTCTGGTCAGCTAACCAGAAAGGTTAAAGAGCATAAAGGGCCAAGTAACGATAGTCCATTCTGTGTATTTCCTATTGCTGTGGCAGTTAAAATAAAATGTTTCTTCTGCCAGTCCGTACATGGACTTTAAACTGGTTCTTTCAGGCACATTGAAAAATTGTTTGTTCACACATTCTCTCAAAAGTTTATTTGCTCTACACTTCCCTTTCCCTGTTCCAAAATCCAAGCACAGCATGTTTTGTCAGCAGTAGTCACGTATGATCGAACAATCTATCATATGATGAACTGATCTTCATTAGGGATGGATAGAATTTCCTGGGTAAGTGTTTTCTGTGCAAGTCTTAATAAAATTAAGATGTAAGGTCACAGTCATTGTCATAGCTCAGTCCTGACAGAAGTAGTTCAACTGACACAGGTCTATTTGTATTATGATCTCATAACACTGAGCAGTGTTTAGCAGTCAGTCATTTATCTGAATGTCACTGCTTTCCCCAATATTGATAAATACTTCATAATAGTATCTATCAGAACCACCTGTTGTTCTAAGTGAAACAGGTTCTTCTTGGGGAGAGGTTCTCTGGCCAGAGTTTTCACCCTATCTACAAACGTTTCGTTGTTTATTGTACTTAGAAGTTGCAACCTTGCTCAGTTCAGCTGAAATTTATTTTATGAATTGTATGTATACATGAGTTGCATAACTTTACCTATCCTAGCATCTAAGCCAAGTTTTCTGATAGCATCTCCTTTTCTTTGATGGCCCTAAAAGTATCCTTTGTATTGGCCATCATTTTGTAGAGTGAATTAGCACTGTACACTTGTTAAAACCAATTATTCAACATATTGCTGCAATCACAGCTGAAGTTCTTTCTTAAACTGATCTCAGAACTTCATCCTACCCGGTTGTTCTGCTCTGCGCTTCCTTCCAAAAGCCAAGCTTGGCACCAGGAGAAAACAAGTTACGTATGCTGTACTAAGGGTTTACTGGATTACACTAGGTCCTGTGGAACTGAGTGTTCGAAAAGTGCCATCGTTTAGATTGTCGCCCATCAGTTGATGGATAAGTCTTGAAATCTTACAGTACTGCAGAACATCTGAGTATCATCTGTGACATCAGCTGACTCACAAACATCAAAGCCTGCATTTTCAGATTTGCAGCAACACTTTCCACCACCTTCAGAAATTAGTTGATTTCTGATACTTTCAATATAGTAACCTGGAGCTACTCATTACTGTTTGTCAAGCTGTATCCATAAATGATAAAACAGAAGTCACAGTGCAGTTCTGTCACCTTCTGCAACTTCCTTTCAGTTAGGAGAGCTGAAACTTCACCATCTTGAGAGGCTAATTGCTTGCTACTAACCTGCAGAATGGCCAAGAATTTCCCAAGAAAACATTATTTCACCATTATAAGTCCAGACAACCTGCTTTTTCATTTGTTTTCCAGATTCTCCACTTTCCTTCACTTCAGATTGAAAATCTGGGGAGGCACGGGGGTTGCAATTGATGTATTCCTCCTCTTGCACAGGAATTCAAGGAGGTCTGGAGCACACATGAAGATTTGAGACACTTTCAAAATTGGGGGGGGGGATTTTTCTGAAGATTTTTTTAAAAATCTGTGCATGTGAAGTGATATGCACTGGTGGGTGTCAGTCATTGTCTTGAAATATCAAAATCATAAGGCTAAGGTACTTCTCATTCTTTCCACTGCTTTTGATCTGTTCTTAGGAAGTCTACATTCATCACTTGTGCAAAAATCAGTAGCAAAGGGATTCAGGAATTAATACAGTTTCTTTGGATCCACAAAGCAAGTCAGGAATGTGCACTGATTCATATCATGTCCTGGAATTATTTCTTCTAACATAAATTTCAAATAGGAGTAGAGTGCTATGAAAATATTTGTATGACCATTCTTGAGAGGTCTTTTTAAAAAAGCTCAGTGCTTTATACAAAATACCAGTTTGATTTCTTGTTTCCTGGGTAGGATTCAGTGAGCTATTGTTAGTTTGGATCAAGGGAGGAGGGAGCAATAAAACCCAAATTCTTCAGTAAGCTGCTGTGCATAGTTGGTAACTTTGTTAGGGGAATCAGTTAAGATGCAAGGAGTGTATATATTCACGTAGTCTATGTCTCCCTTTCTAGAGACCTGCAGTGTTTGTGTTGTGTATACATTTTGTCTATGCAATGAGAATGCTTGATCTGATCCTAAAGAAGATGTTTTATTTTCTTACAAATGACTCAAAAGTAGCAAGCAAGTGTACCAGATAAGTTGGGGGGGGTTTTGCCATAATTCATTTTTTTCATTCATCCAAATATAGCACCAGAACTGGATAGACTAAGAAAATTATAACACTCATCATGGTCCTTAATTTTCTTCTAATTAGATTTCACACATGTTTCAGATAACAGAATTGTGGCGCTGTGATTTTTTTTTTTTTTGTCCTTAATAATGCAGCAGTAGTTGAAATAGGAGATTCCAGAATTAAAAGTATAAACTTATAGCTAGGGTGGAAGTTTTCTGGCAGGATATCTATCCTTCTGTGCACCAGACATAGTGAAAGACTTATCAAAAATATTTAACCAGTTATTTTCAGCTTCTGATTGAAGTACATTTCTTCTGAGTTTCTGAGGCTCCTTGAAGTTCAGCCACAGACAAACTCACTGCTGCCAACCTGGCCAACAAACTAGAGTTTAAACTATAGCTGTAACAGTTGGAGCTTGGTCTTTGTGACTCAGTTGTTCAGCCTCATGTTCTTCAGATTGCACATAGAGCAAAACTTGTGATACATGTTCACACATCAGTTACAAAATGTAATAACTATTTTTTTGCTAAACAGAAAACCTGTTTATGTGAATTTCAAAGGAAGGAGATAAACAATTTTCCTGAATCAACTAGTCCTTGCTGTGGGATTATAAACTTTCTACTACTGCTCATCTCTAAACTAAAATGGAGTATGTCCTACAGGACAATAACATGATGTTTTCAGAGACTGCTCCATAAAACTAGTAAAGATGAGAACAGAGTAAAGATGAGAGGGAAGAATGAAAATGACATAACAGACTCATTCAACGTGTTACTTTGTATGCAGAACGTAAGTCTTCGGCTGCCAACAGTTAACTCTCTGGCTTTTCAGGATTTGGCAAAGGTGATTCATTTACTAACGAAGTAGTAATGAAGTAAGCAAAACTTTTTTTTTTCCTTTAATTTAGGCTGGTGTAAGTGTGATCAAATGCAAGTTTTCAGCCCAGCATCTAGATCTTCTCAATCTGTCTTCATGTAGAAAGTAGTAGTCATCCTCTCCGTAACTAGGGGGTCTGCCATCTCTACTGAAGTGGACTATACTTTTCACGAGCCTTTCTGTGTAACCAAAATCCCATTGATAAAGAAGCTAACGACTCAGTAAGAGCCAGACTTGCAGAGTTCTAGGAGGCAAGGGAAATGTTTAAGATTTCTAATACAAAAGAGTTTTCCAAATCAAATGAGTGGAGATTATTAATGGAAGCTAATAATTCTTAGTGTTCTATTACTAGTTCATTACTGGGACGTATCTTTAGATCTTCTAGTGGCATTTTACTGTGGTCGTTTCAAAGGGGCACTTAAACTTCAAATCTAAGGGCACACACTTACAAAAAAAGAGGAAAAATACAGCTAGCTGTCGCCTAAAAGAATTTCACTTTGGGGCTGCTGAGAGTCCTACATTTTGGGGGGAGCAGATTTTCTTAAAGTGGAAGGGCTCTTCCATAGCTTCTGCAGGTCCATAGAAATGATTGCCTTCTGCTTTATGAACTTTGGTTTGGATCCTATTACACACCTAGGTGCATTGATACACACAGTACTTTGTTGAGTATTATTAAGGAAATCACATTTAAATTGAAGAGATTGATTATCCTTTCCCTTATTTCATTTGTGCAAGTGAACGTGAAGTATGAAAATCATTAAACTTTTTCTTCTGTTCTCCTGAAAGTTTAACGAAACTAATCAATTCTATATGTTAACCAAGATTCCTATATTAAATAAGAATCCCCTCTCTCTCTCTCTTTTAAGTTTGTGGTTCTAACTGTGTGTTTGAAGGCTGGATTAGAGACCTCATATTGGACGTTGGTAAGCAAATGTCGGTACCATATTCTCAAATGTTCTATAAAATATGATGGATGAATAATTGTATTATTTTCTCCTTATTTATTATATTACACCCTTACAGTTTGTCAACCCTGCCCACAGTATCAAACTAAACTGTGGTTACTGCATAGAAAGACAGAATATCCACATACAGAAAATAACTGCAAAGGAGGACATTGGGATAAGGCTTAAAGTAATCCTTAAACTAGAAAAATGGAATTACTCTGAACTGATTGTAATTGAACTTAAATTGGCTTAAAATGCAATAATATTGCTGCTGAAAGTATCATCTTGCTTTAAGAAATAGCTAACTGAAGTAGCAGAGTTAAATGAATACAAGGCATGGAAATTTCATCCAATATATCAGAATCACTTTGTAAATACAAAGTAGCAAAGATCTTTTTTTATGTCATAATACATCTGTGATGATTGTTCTGTTTTCTTTTTTTGTTTGTTTGTTTTAACAGTTCAGCCATATAGCTATCTGGGGCAGCATAGCACTTTGGGTGGTGTTTTTTGGAATCTACTCTTCTTTGTGGCCAGTCATTCCTATGGCACCTGATATGTCAGGAGAGGTAAAAGTATATTTTTAACTAATATCCGAATGTGTGCAAAGAATATTGTTTCAGTCTTTAGTACAGGCCTAATCTGTATTGGATCCTTCTGGTAACTAGAGGTGCATAAGAGGGTTGCTTCTCTTCAATGTGGTAGCCATATTTATTTAAAATGGAATTAATTTTCGTTCTTGTGAAAGTGGAGCTCAACTAACAGGCTGTGATTATATGGTCTAGTGAGGAAGAATAGACAGGTAAGCTGCTTTGCAGTTCTTTAATAAGTTTTAATTTTCTGAAGAGAAGTCTCACCAAATTCAGAACTCAAAATTACAGTGCTTATTTGACTGGAGTTTTTTTTTATAATAAGATAGCACAAGTAGTGCATTGGTTAAGGCTATTTTTCATCTTCAGTTTTACAAATTTCCTAAGTATTTGCAAGTGTAAAATGCCTCAAAAAAGTTGAGGTGCCATAACACTGCATGAGCAGCTGCTTGCCGTGCACACATTTCCTTTTCTATTAATGTGCTGCTTGGAATGCATTATTGTAATGTATCTTTAACCTTTTGACAGTAATTACTGGTTTCTCTTTCATTTATTATCCCATTTCTGTAAACCTGCTCTGAATATTGCAAATAGGACTGAATCCATAAAAGATGCTTAATTGCTGCCTGTGCTGATCTAATTGGGACTTCAGTCCCAAATTTTCAAAACCATTCAGTTCCAGAAACATATGAAGTTTAGTATTAATTTCCCAGACACTAATGTCTGCTTCTGGGCACGGCAGTACCTCCTGAGCTGAGAAGTGTGCATTCTCAGTGGGAATCAGAAACTGAGAATACTTGCATGTTTCAGAAAGATATTCTTCTAATGGTTCTTAAAGCATATCAACTAAATCAAGCCTTACACCAGTAAAAGGGTGAGTGCCTTTAACTCCGCCTCTGTGATATAATTCAGCAACTTAAAAGTTCCTGTAAGATGTGGGAAATTTAGGTGCATATCTCTCCCTCACTTGGAGGTAATTCAGACCCACAAATCTCCCCTCCTATGTAAGCAGTTATGGGGAAAATAGTATATAGGCATTTATATAACTACTACATTTTAATGGAAAGCACAAGGAATTAACTTAAGTACTTGGACACCTAAGAAAAAAATTGATTTGAAATTATACAATTTCTTGCTGTTTTTCCTCTCTATTATAACCTCTTACCCATGTATATATGTAGATTTTGTACATTACCATGTTACCTCCACTACTCAAAATTAATTATGTACATTATTCTGAATTAAAGTAATTGAAGCTATCTTACTTCAGCATTTTTCTTCATACACACTGTATTTTATAGAAGAAATAGAATTTTTTTGGAATTTGTTGGTTTTAGAGATTTTGTAAAAACTCTATACATTGTTCTTTAAAACAGAAGAACTTCTATAGTAATAAGCACAGTGGGAGCAGCAGGGTGTGTTATACTTGGTATGACATAAAGGTGGCTACTTCACTGTTGAAATAACTGAGTATTTTACTTAGTACATGTTCAGTCTCTGAAGTTATTGTGAGCAAAAGATGTTTTTGAAGGGAATGTAATTCCCACAAACTTGGAAAAACAGTTGTTCGTAAAGAGATGTAGCTGTCAACAAAAATAAATACTCTTGGGGTTTGAATTCAACATGACACCAAAGTAGTCTGTCTTACAAACCTAAATTCATTTATTTGTTGTGATAAAACTGTATCTGTACTTGAAATGGATAGTGTATTTTGTTAGTGTGCTTGCTTGTGCATATATGTGTATGTAGTAGCTTTAGATGTGTGTACGTGCATGCAGTTGTTTGAGGGGGTGTTGTTGGGTGAGGTTGGTTTTGTTTTTGTTTTCTTTCTAAGCTTATAGTTAGAAGTCTGTAACATCAGAATAAAGTCTCCTAAACACCTCATAAACCGTAAGAGCTTATTTTAAAAGCTCTGGTCTAGCTTTTTGAGCTGTACTCTGTGTGGCTAAAAGTCCTGTCAATAAATACTCCGGCTCAGATTGGAAGGAGGATTTTTGTATGCTCTCCTGGAAGCCCCCTCACTGACCAGGTGGTCTCTGGCAGCACAGAATTCACTGGGTTTCTCTGAAGCAAGTCCAGGCCTTCCATAAGTATTCAAACTAAAAGATTCACAAATTTTAACTGTGGAAAAGATTGTGGTGTGATAGAAACAAATCCATATGGCCATCTGTGCTTGCCTATGCAAATACTGCTTGTCTAATTTCTTCAAACATGCGAGTCAGACTTGAAGACTTCATCCAAGTACATTTGGCAGAAATAAAACGAACAAGTCAAAAGCTGACATCTACTTCTGTAGCTTTTTGTCTGTTTTACCTTGGCCTGATATGATCCATTATGCTGGAGGGGATTTTCAGGGTTTTTTTTTTCCAAATGTATTCATTAAAAGTACCCATTTTTTCATAAACTGTAGATTTATAAGGAGATTTTACCAACTATAATCCTTATAAAGTTTAAATATATTCTCTTTCAGCTCCTTAGAGCTGGTAACAAGAGTTCTATCTTAATAGGTTTATAGTCTTACGAGTCAGTATTCTTGATACAATATTCATCCAACCATTCACTCCCAACTAGATGATGATATCTGTCTTCTACAAACATCTTTTTCATGGCTTCTTTTAGACAGAAAAGAACCTACTGAAACACTATAATAAGGATTCAGTCTAACTTCTTCATATTAATGTCATGAAAATAATAAGATTCTTGCTGCTTATTGCTGGTTCTATTCCAAGAAAATAAAATACCAACGCTCTTGAAGGGGAGAGAAAAAGCACATGGAGCTGGTGGAAAACTCATTCATTGGATGCAGAGGAAAGGTTTCATCCAAATATTTTGAAACTCGGATTTTTCATCTAGTCCTTTAAAATACCTATACAGCTCTGATAAGTGTGTTTAAATGGAGAACACTACAAGATAATGCTTCAAGAAAAAAATAGAGTTGTAATGGAAGAAAAGGATCTGTTCATGCTGCAAAAACACTCTTTATGTTGGAGTACTGAAGCTAGCAGCCCAAAGTTAAATCATAAGAATTGTTGGTTTGTTTTCATCTTTTAGTATCAAACATCACCCAATAACTTACTGAATAAAGAAACAAGTATGTCGCATATTTTTGCAGGTTTTCCCTGCTTTTTACACTAATTTTGTTTCCATCATTTTGTGTATCTTTCCAACTGTAGAGAAGATAGTTAAAGTTGGCTTTTACATATGTGTTGCTGTAGGTTAGTAATACAGAAGGAAAGATTGTAAAATGCTGTGCTCTGAAAGAAAACATAGTGAAATGAAAAATTATGACTTTCTGACAGAGTGCCAGCAGTTTTGTTCATTGTCTAGGCCACTACCCCCCCTTCTTTAACAAGTTCCTAATACTATAATCAAGTGTATTTTTCTTTCTTTCTCTTTTGCTCTGAGTTTTCCCAAAAAAGCCAAACAGGGACCCCTTTGATCCAAAATGCCTTATTGATCTAGAATGCTGAGGCAGTTCCGGCATCAAGATCTTTGTTTTCTGGCCTTTCAAGATTGCTACTCCCACACTGGACCATCTCATCCCAACTGTATACCGTTCCTCACAGTGTGGGAACTAGATGTCTCTCCATGTTACAGTACTCCTAAGTCCTATGAATAGTGGTGACTAGGTTGCCAAATAGGTAGTGCGCCAGAAGAGTTGAAAGGTGGCTTCTGGCTCACATAAGCAGAGGTATCTTGGCACAGTGTTCTCCTGATATGAATAACTGGTAGTTATATAGCTGATATCTGTTAGAGATTGGTAACAGGCGATCTGGGTGATAGTAGCCGAAACATGTTTCATTAGTAAAATTGTGACAAAACCTTAGAATCAACGTTCAAACAAGAAACCAGTTACATTTTGTCAACCTTAAAACAGTTTCTGTTCCAGTTAAAAAAAAAAAAAGTCCCTAGTGAAGAAAACTTCATTCATTTTCCCTGATTGATGATGTTCAGATGAGAACTGTTAGTTCACCATTGTCTTTCTGCAGACACAGCCTAGAAGGAAAAATGGACAAAAATGTAAGAAAAGGACCAGGATTTATGAAACAGAAGAAAAAGGAAAAACAGGCTGTAAAATTGAAGAAGGATATGTGATAAAAAAGAGATGATAACCCAAGTATTAATTATATAGTATATAATTATATATGGCTAATTCAGGTACTGTAGCAGATCAACTTTAAGTTATGACTCTTTTAGTAGTCTGAAACAAGACTTACGTATTTTATCATTAATTAAGCTGAAGTTATTATTTACCTTCATATTATTTTTGTTTGTACTTTAGACTCATTCATTTAAAAGTTTCTTTTCTAGAGTTTATTCTAAGAATTAGGGACTATATTCTTCTAGTCTTAGACACAGATCCTAAAATACTAGGAATTCAAGTTTTATCTGCTTATAGCAAAGTGTTAAAATACCTTTTCTACCAGGAGGATTTTGGTAGTAGTAGCAAAACATAATTCCTATTGGCGGGAACTTGATGCACAGTATATGAGAGAGAAATATGGAAAACATTGCAAAAGTTTTCAGTGATTTTATAACAACTTTGCAGTCCTAACATAGTCTTTATTACAGTACAATGTTTATCTATATTAACGTTTATTCACGCATTTGTTGTCTGTCAGTACTGTCTAGTGTGGAAGCATCTGAACAGCCAGCTTTACAGGTTATATTTTTCTTAATATTTTACCTGTAAAGATTGTGCTTTTAGGTATAGAGGCACAAGAAAGAAAAAAAAAAAAAAACTTCTTTGTAGGCATTTTGTGGTTAGATTTAACACTGTTATGGAGAAGTGGGTCATACCACAGGACAGCTGTTTTGACCCATTACATGAAACAAGCTCCATTTAATTTCAAAAAAGGTGCCACTACAGACTGGAAGAACATTTTTGTTGCAGACCTGAGTAAATCAATTGCATGGATCTCTTTCTCTACTACATTGATATAACTGAAGTTGAAACTTTTCTTTTATGTGTATATTTC